ATTGCCTTGATAATATACAGGAAAATGTTGTGGCTCTCAATGTATTTAATTATGTATTCATTTAGTATGATTATACTAAACTTATAAAATAAGAGCACTGGTTGGTTCAAATTAGTCTTGATATTTTTCATCTGAATAAATAAGATATTATGGAATAACGTACATCTTTACACTAATCTAGGTGGTCTCTAACAATCCACTTCAAAAGAAGCACAAACTATATCTCTTCTCATCTTATCACTCAATTGTTTTTCATCATAAAATAAATATAATACGAATAACTTAAGGTTGTTTAGCGGCTTTCAAAAATGCATTTCATAAATTACTAAAAACTATCACCGTTATCAATAAGCATCCATTTTTCTTTCACATCAAAACTAGGTTAGGGGCAAGATAGTTTCATAAGCATCAGCGATTGAGAATAAATAAGATAATAACAGTACAGTTGCCATTTTTAAAAATTAGTTTTCAGTTTGGTTTCAATCAATTTTTCATTATGTAGTGTAACGACGTCTTAAGGTTTTATTTTGATGGAGTTATGCTCTCTGAGTTGGATGGTTTGGTCGTGGAGATTTCATCGTTATTCTGAATGATATCCCCAGCACAAACTTCAGGTAGAAGTCAAATGCTCGAATTTCTCCACATATGGCTCACAGCTTGTCCTGTAGACCTCGATGTTGATTGGTCATTGTTGACCTTTAACCTGTCATTGTTTACTTCTTTATTTCCGTTGTATCTCCCATTGATTTGATTTTTGGTCTTATATATTATTTACTAATCATCTTAAGAAACATTAGTAAAATCATACAGTACTAAAGACAAGTACTAGAAAACTTTGTATACAAGTACACTGGTTCAAGTTTTTATATTATAAATTGGTACACAAAAGGGAGTTGGTGAAATGAAAAGTTGTTAAAATGGATTAAAAAGATATAAGCGAAGGAAGGAAATCTGAAGGTTTATAAAAAAATAGAAGAGTGAATGTATTTGTGCTATGTTTTCATACTACGTTATTCAAAGTTTTCAAATGACAGTTTCTAAGATATCTAAAACTTGCCACATGTACACTGAAAATACCTTTGGTGCAAGGTTCAGATCAACAGCTTGTAATTTAATGGGCTCCCCACGTCTTAATATTACCCATGTGCTGATTTAGAATCATTATCAAGAAGAATTCCCAAAGTTCATTGGCAGTGTAAAATCAGGTCAGGTATGAAGCGATCAACCATCAATTACACCAAACCTTTGAATTCCCACTTCGTTATCTAAATCTATCGTTCTGGTCAAGAAACCCGAAATTTCGAGGTGTGATCCCTTCTGCTTTCATAAGTTCACAACGCAAATGAGTATTAACTAGAATTGTCCCTTGGTGTTCAACGATCATCCAGCTATCCTGTAAGTTTGTGATGAAAATTAACTTCAAACTGAACAAGTCTGCACGAACCATCATCTTTTTATTTAAATAAAACTAGATATATTTCACTCCGATCAGTCAGTTATAAGCATTATAGAACCTGACATATATGTGCATCGGTTCAAGTCTTCGCAATGCGCAAGTTCAACGAGATGAAATTATCAAGATAAATCTCGGACTTGTATAAGTAGTAATAGTATCAGTAGCAACAAAATTACTGCCTACAGACAACATGATTCTGTATACATGACTCAGTCTATCAGCTAGTTACCCCAAGAGTTGATAACGTTTTGGTTTGGTTACCCTAGCTTCCTGTACCAGTAGACATCGCCCATCGGGATAGGCGGGGGATGGGCATAAATAATGCACTTTTCACCCATTTCAGTCAATGAAGATCCATTAACTTATCAACCGATTTTTCATCTTTATCTAACACCCAGAATCTAATATTAGCATTACTTACTCAGTGGTTCCAACATACGTGAGGAATACCCTGAAGATAGCTGTGATAAAATATTAGTGAATTACGAATGTCTTCTATTTCTAAAGGCCATGCTTCACAACCTCAAAGCAAGATAAAACAAACTTTTCCTCAGAATACTCGACTACAATGTTCTTCAAACTTTAGTGCGGCTTAAACTCTCAGTGTTGATTTCAATAAAATAATCAATTTATACTATATTAAATAACCAAAATAATAAAAAATATTATCATTTCACCTTTATGCACTTACCTCCAGCTAATTAATTATTTGTTTACGGTAATTAACCTTTTAACTTAGTTTGAACTTAATAACGAATGGTCACTTTAGAAAAACACTTGAGAAAAACTATGATTAATAACCTTGTCAATAGTTTAGTCTATTCATCAAAGAGAATAATTATTTAGAATTTTGATGGACCTCTTATGAATTTCAACGAAAATGGCGTTGCACTTCGAAATGTATAACTAACTCGTTTTATATTAAAACAAAATACAAAATTCAACCTTGTCTGTGATATGGTAAAGGAAAGTTTCGTTAAAAGTTTTTCACCTGTTCAGCTGTAATGATATTTGGAAATGACCATTTCTTAATTATTAAGAAATAAGCTTATAATTTTGTTTTAACTTTCAAAGTTTAAATTATTTGACTATTTAGTGTACTGTTTGCACAGTGTAGATAAAATACTGAACTATATTCTCAGAGTCAGAGAGAGAGGTCGAATGTGAGATCAGAAAGCAAGTTACTTAGTTGATGACCGATATTATTATAGTCTAAAACGCGAAGGAGAAAAGTTGATAATGCTGAGCCATCCTTTCCCAATGATAATTTCCCTGTCTATCTTTTCATGAATATTTAAGCCCTTAATAATCAAACTATTATTTGTTTCCCTGTTTAGAAAACAAATTTTTGAATAACTCTGTTTATTCTACCTCACTGTTACCATGTCTAACAGAAGTTTAATATCATTACTATTGTAATCAACACCCTGAAAAATAAGTATATATTTGAGATTGTATAGCTTCGAAAATGAATTCGTTGAAAAGAGAACTCTTTGCTGAACCAATCATTCTTACTCAATCTCTCAATGAGTGTATTCCGTTTATTAAAAGTTGATAAGACTTTAAAATTTTAACTACAAACTTTGTAGTTGAAACCATTGAGACCTGTAATCTCAGGGGTAATAAGTGTCATGATTACAGATAATAGATTAACTGGTCTACTGTATTTCGTATTATTCAAGTTCTTCTGACCGTTAATTCAGTAAATTCCGTATTGATATAACTAACGAAGTTAAAATAAAAACTACTTTTTAATTTTAAACTATTAACTCATATATGCCCAGAGTAATTATCACAACTGAGTCAAAACTCAGTGCTCGAAAGTTCTAAGTTCACTCAATTCACCTTGCAGTGAAATAATTATCCAGTGCAATCGCTAGACAATTTCCTCACTTCTGACATGGTTGAACTTCATAAATCACTGTGGATCACTCGTAATTCAGGAACCAATCTCAAAACCTTTTACTCTCATAACATTAAAGACACATATTACGTCTGTTACCTATCATGGGGCACAGACCATCGACCAGAAACCGTTAACCTACGCTGTCATGGACTTTTCTTTCTAGTTATTTACGAGTGATACTCTTTTTTTAACCCTGTCTCGACTTTTCATCAACTCTGTTCCAGGCAAAACATATCGTAAATCAAGTAGCCGATCAGAATCAAGGCAGATGCACAAAAATATATTCAAACGTCAAGATTTTCAATGGTGAACTAACTTAGATAACATCATAATTTCAATGAATTTAATAGAATCGCAACGAATTTTTATGGGTCAAAGTTCGTGAAGTGTTCAAATAGAAGACGTTGACTTTATTTTTCTGCATGAAGAAATAAAGAATGAATGTAATATTCATTGAACAATAGGATGAGTTGTATTTCTACAACAGTTAATGTCACATGTAAAAGTAATTGAGAAACGAGTATTTACTTATTCGGATTCAAATGAAGTTGAGGAAGACAACGTATCTAGTATTTAAACGGATAAATGGAAGAGAACTAACATATTTAACACATTGAGTAGACATCATAGAAGTTATAGCTATCTATTTACGTCAATATCACAGTGATAAAGAAACCTGCACAAATGCTTATCAATAAATACTGGGTACATTAAAAGACCATTTAAAATCATTCAGTGATTTCTTATAATCACTGTTATTTAGTCACATGAAAGAGTAATGCAATAGAACGTTTAAAATAGACATTAACAGTACAGAGGATAGATAATTTTACCAATCATAGTAAACTAGCATTGATTTTAAAGTTTCGTATAAGTTAATAGATGACTGTAAATTATTTCAGTCATGCTTCGAAGGATTATAGTCTTTATTCACAAAGGGTCTTTTCAGATTGTTTTAATCTATTCAACTCGATAAAAAATGTATTATTGCTAGCAGTACGATTTTATCCTAAAACAGTCATTTTACATATCACACCGTGTAGTCAGATTTTAAAACTGCAATCATGCATCGAGTTTCAAAGATAAATTAATCATATATTGACTTGGCAACTTAAAGCTTCTAATCCCAAGTTTTCCTGTTATTAATTCAGTGTAAATGATTATAATCTACTCCAGTTGTGTTATGGTGTAAACCAAAGCAAACCAGCCAGGTATTTCATCTTAGTATGAGACTTGTCAGGAGCAGAGATCTACAACCCTTTTAGGAGTCAAAGCCAGGAACTCCAGGTCTCTCGTTGAACACTTAACAATAAGAATCAATGGGTCGGCGTCCAGCCGTACTATTACAATTTAAATCAATTTGAGATATAAGGTGATACTCTTTGAATACCATCAGTGATAACTGTTTCACTTCCGAAATGTCTAAATTGAGGAAACTCATACTTGGAAGAAGAAGCTACTCAGCCCTCTCTGATTTTCAATGATACTTCAACTAAAAACAATCCGTGGTGAATATAACCTACAATAAGAATAGATCTATTCGATTATTGCTTACGCAAACAGTCGTAGTAATAAAAACAATTTTTATCAAGTCTAGTATTTCAAAACATTAGTCTATAATAATTAACCAATACATACTTGATGTTTGAATTTTCAGATCAGGCTTATAATTCACTTCAGACTGAACATAATTATAACAGTTTTGCAATTGACTTGACCTGTAATTTGAATTTCCTGTGAATGAAATAGTTCTTGGTTGGTTATTATTATTATTATTATTAGTGCTTATGTTGCTGCTATTATTGTTTAAATTATCTATGGCATTTTTTATATTTACATCATTTACATGACTTGATTGATGATTTACAGATGTACTGTTATTAAATCCAATCATAATATCGGTTGTAGAGTCTTGTGTAGTATTTATTGCAGGACTAGTATTATGATTGTGTTTAATGGCATTACTTTCTTGAAATCTTGGTTTAACATCTTCAATAATGAATGGAGTACCTAAACCATTATGATTTTTTAAATTATTCGATTGTACAGTATTCGAATGCAAAATAATGGAATTATTTGCACTCTGTAATTGTTGTAATGGATATTGTTGCTGTTGACCAGATTGATGAAGTTTCAATAAATTATTTGTATCATCTATTCTTAATAAACTGTGATTAGTATCATTATTATTATCACTATTACTAGTATTGATAGTTCCATTATCAGCATTATCAGTATTATTACTAGTAGTAGTTATTGTAGTAGAATTAGTGGTATTAGGTTCATATAATTGTGAATTATTATAATTTGTCAATTGATCTATGCTTCCATTTAAATTAAACTCAAGTGAATTCCAGTGATTTAGTGTACGTATATTTAAACAATTTAGATTTTTTAATTGTTCTGTATTACCATAATTTAATGAACCATTTTGATAAATATAATTCATCACGTTTGATGCAGCTGCTACAGTAGAATCAATGGATGAACTTGTCATGAGATCTGTTGATAAATTTGATAAAAACGGTTCTGATATACTATTTGTTGATATTGGAAGTTGAGTTTCTGTTGTTCTATTACTAATATTAATATTATTGCTATAGTCATTGAATGAAGATGATATCATAGCATTATTATTGATTTGATTACATAAGAAATTTAATTCAATCCGTGGATCTTGAATATGATGTTGTTTTTGTTTTAACTTGGATTGATTACCATGTGATGTTGTTATAATATAATTTTGACCATTTTCATCAATATATGTTGTTATACCTAGTTGATCAGATAGATCTAGTGAATTACAATTATTGGTTAACTTTATTTGTGATGATTGTGAAATAGTTGCAGACGAATTAGCATAACTTAAATCATGTGGACTATCAAGTGTTTTCAACAAATAATTTTGAATTTTCATATAATTTGATGGGGATGATGTTGATTGTTGATTGGTTAATAAATTTTGATTAGCGTCTGTATTTTCATCACCAATTAGTATATTGGATGAATTGTTTATACTGTTAGATAACTGAAATGATACAGTTTGCGGATTGGTTGATTTATTACCTGTTAAACTATTTGTTCGCATGATATATTCAGATGAGGAGAGAGAATTATTAGAATTTTGACTAGAGGGTAGAAAATTATGTATTGTAGATTGTGGATAAATATCTATTGTTGGTATATTATTAACTCGATTGATATCCACAATAGATCCAGATATACTATAACTTTTAGATAATGGATGAAGTAATTCTTTGGCAGAATCTATTAAGTATAAGGTTTCAAATTTATCTGGATATAATTTATAATTTTCATCGGATTGATTATCTTGGTTATGTTCTTGTTTTAAATTCTCTACGTTTTTAAACATATTATGCTATTTTATGAAGCTATAATATTAATAATAATGATAATTAATATAACGATATATGATGAAGATGGATATCTCACTACAATCGATACAAAACAGTTTGTATTTCTCATTAAGGTCCATCAGTATATATATATATATACAAACGTACATTCATCGGATTACAGGTGAATATTAAATCAGTATATGAATTATCAAGTACCTTTCATATACATTAAGAAAACTAATTGAAGCCAGTATAATCATCCTAGTTCATTATATATCATAATAGTTTAAAATGAATTCATATCAATCTTCACCAGTTAAATAAGTATACAATTCACTAAATTACCTGGCTAATTAATTGATTTGAGAATTTAAATAATAAAATTAATCAATCATTCCTTCTAACTGTGTACGTATACATTAATACTACAGGAATACATATATGTATATGGGAGAGAGAATACATGGAAAATATAATTATTGGTCAAAACGGTATACATAATCTAAATTAATTATTTTAAATGGTCAGCTTATATACATATACTGAATATTTAACATACTACTGACAAAATAATTTCTCAGAGCCCTAATTAATCACTTGAATGAAAGTGTATCTCCAAAATTATACTGATAATATCAGTAGTATTTTGAAAAACGTTTAATAAATATAAAGTGTCCGTTTTTAACTGAAATAGGACTAATATTTGGATCGTGACTAGGAAGGAAATCAATGATAAGCGTTTTATCTTATTTCAGATCAGTCACCTAGATGTTCACATCAAGAACTGAATCAAATACATGTCTCGTCAAATATCAATCCTTATTATCAATAACAGAATAGTACAAACCCTTATATATAATTTCTTAGGGGTTGAGAAAGTATTCATCTGAACTTAATGTCTTTACGGATGCGTTGATGTTTGGAGTGATAGGTAATAAATTCAAGTCCCTGTGTAAACATCTACAATGGAATGAAGGACATTCAGATGAAGCGTCAGAAACAGGAAAAACAAACTTCTTGGATACCACTGCCAGTCACAACCCATATTTACTAAAAACTTATAACTAAAAAGCGATATTGAGCCAATCCGCTCATGGTGCACCCATCCCAATAGAGGTTGATCAATTGCAGACCTAATATCAATAATAAGGCAATACAATTCTTTAAGAAAAGATTGACATCCTTTGAAATTATGTGAATATAAACTTACGTTAAATAAAAAGTAGTATAGTTAGTATTATATAAAAATATAAAATTTACTCTATCTTCAGTTATTCTCTATCATGTATGTAATTTAAAACAGATTTATTGTTATATCCAACTAGATTCACTATTATCTATACGGTCACACAATGAAAGAAGCATTAATTACTCATATTGTAAGGAATCTAAACGATTTCTATTCCATCAGATAATCAGTGCAAATTTGAATCACTCTTTCATAAGGAAATAAATAGTTCAAAACAATGATTAGGAGGCAAAGCTTAGATGATCAAATACAGATAAAAACGAATAATTAAGACACACATGTTACTTACTATCTAAATAATTATTAGCTACAAAGAATTCCTGTAGTAAGAATCCGATTTGGTTGATCAGTGGAAAGCAAAACACATCTATCTGGCATTCATTTTGGTTCAGATCTTCCTAGGTGGGGTTGCTTACCCCATCCCATAGAAGAGAACCATGCAAAAGTTCTAACCAATGTCGCGGCAGCTTCAGAAGTAATAGACCTCAACATACACAAAGGAAAACTCAAGATCCTAGAATACGACACAGCGCGTAGCAGTCAAATCACACTTAAAAAGCTTTACATACTTGAGCAGTACCACTGATAAACAAGAAGAATATAATATAGATATAAAGGCGAGGATTGGCAAGGCAAGAACAGCATTCCTACAGTTGAAGAACATATGGAACTTAAAACAACTGTCAATCAATATGAAAGTCGCGATCTTCAATACATACAGTTCTACTGTACGGAGCTGAAACTTGGAGAAGTACCATAACCATCATAAGAAATACGACTATCCATAAAAATTTGCTTACGCAAGATACTAAATATCCGTTAGCCAGATGCCATCAATGACAACTCACTGTGGTAGAGAACAAACCAACTTCCAGATGAGGAGGAAATTAAGAAAAGACACTATAGGTAAATAGGATATATATTGCCAAAATCACTAAACTGCATCATGAGGCAAGTCCCGTACTTGAAATATTTAAGACTAAATGAAAAGCGGTCGACCAAAGAACACATTGCACCGTAATTGAAGGCAGACATCAAAAGGATGAGTGGCACTTGTAAACAAATGTAAAGGAGAGCCCAGGACCGAGTAGGTTGGAGAATCCTGGTGGGTCGCCTATGGTACTCCATGGGTGGTAACAGGCGTAATTACGTGATATATTTCAATCTCACTATCAATAAAATGTTTAAGGTTAGGGAATTTAATAGAGATATACATTTCAACGGGCACCCTTTATGGTTATTATACTATAAAGATAAAAATATATGGTTATTCAATAATAGTAACTAAATGCAATGCGAATATTTTTAGTATCTTAATTTCACCATATTCCGCATTAAATAACATTCTTAGTCTAGTCTATCTTGTATATGCATTTTCCTGAATTCTAAAGACAAAAAAGACTCCCAACAATGAGTACCAAATTAAAACTTTAAACCACTTTTGCATACATGATAATACATATTCGCTTTGGTTCAACTATTAATTAGAAAGTTATAATCTAGTAGGAATAATCCAATGTTCACATTCCTTATTATTTTCCCTTCTTATTCTTTGAATTTGTCCAAAAATATGAATAATTACAAGACTATCTTCGATTTAAATTCTAAAAAAATAACTTATAATAACCTTAAATCATGATTAACCTTAAGTGTTAACCGTAGTCTATTGATCTGTACTATTTAATAGAATCAGTAATTTGGAATAATTTGGTTTTATTTTCATTTATTTATCAACTGTCCTTCTTAGAATGCTAGTTTTCTATCCCTGAAGTATTTACAGAGTGTGTGTCTTTTTTCGTCTTTCTATCAACTGTTAAAATGACGACTCTTTTATGGAAAACAACGATTTATCATTGATTTTGTCTTGTCGTTAATTAGTCTGAAAAGAAAACCATATTCACACCATAATTATTTTGTATGAAGAAAACACATACATAAACACTTATTTATGTGACGAAGTTTTAAAACGGGAAACTAACGAACCTACTGGTTTTGAACCTAAAATAAGCAAGTAGAAGTATTACATTCAGTAAATTGTCAAGAAAATTCAAAAATTATTTAAAAATGTAGCCTATAGATTATACATTCTGATTATTTACGTTATTCATCATCACTCCGCTAATGAATTCATTCAAAGATAATATAAGGCAGAATGTCTGTGACGACTCAACTTTCTTTTAGGGCAAATTATTCTAAGATTAGAAGTATATATATATATATATATATATATATATATCACTAACATACTTATTAAAATCGTTTTTACACCTCACTCACATTTGTATGAAATAAGATAATAAACTGACTAATTTGACGTGGAACTTACTTTCCAAGCCATTCACTTGGCACGAGATTAAGTTTATATTAATTAAACGGTATTAGGAATAATATGTCAATTGCCCCTTGTTAGTTTATGACAGTGCAAAGGACTTCTCATGTTAATATTTTATATTATGCCATTCTTTCTTGATAGTTTTTTAGAAACTGGGCAAAACACCGGAACGATTTTGTCTTTTTTTATAACTGTTAACATTTTTAGAAATGTAATTCATATTTGGATTCCCTTTATGCACGGTATCATTTATTTTTATATAACTAATCATCCGACCTTTGATGATAGCTCTTAAGATTTCGTAAATGAATTCAAATATGATTATTTTGTAATCAACTAGCCATTGATTGAGCTACAATAAATATTGTCCAGTAAAATGTCATAATTGAAGTTCCTATTCATTGTATTAAATATATTACTTAAATAAACGTTGATTAGTGTAACCTGACTACTATAAATTTTACAAGTGATATTTTTTAAAACAAAACATCTAATAACCTACCGACCGAAATTAGCGACTAACTCATACGTTTGCGACACTTATTTACCAACTGCTCGAGTATCTCAATAAATCAACCTATTCTAAATTTGTTTAAACTGAATAATTAAGAACGTTAATTGTACATTTTCACGAGTTGTTATAAAAGGGTTACAAATCATTGTGATTCAAAATACTGGAAAATCCTATCATAAATACTTTAGTTCTTGGCTTATTTTTATTTATCTATCCTTTGAAAAAATGAGCGACAAATATACAGGAATTCAAGCACCTCAAGTTGTGATATATAACAAAATAGTAGCAGCTAAACTAATGGACAACTTGTATAAGTGAATACGAGTACCTGATACTGACTGTTAGTAATACTAATGAAATATACTTTGAAAACTTATGATTGGAATACATGCTGTAGTATTATACAATTGATGCTGTGAAATATCTATTCTCAACAAAATTTATGGGATTGAATCAAGTCCTTATTATCGGTCCCAATATATGAAAAAGCGTTCTCACTACACAACAATCGGAATTACCACCTCTTAATAAACCTTTATATTAGTAATGTATTTCTCAAGTCTACTCATCATTTATATTTTGTTAGTTTTTGCGATAACTTTGAAGGTGTCGTAAAAAAGTCCTATTGTATCAAGGTAGTCACTGACAGTTGACTGTGCTTACTTATTTCTAATTAATATCGCAACGTACAACATACTAATAGTAAACTATAGCAAAAATTAGAAATTTCAAAAAAAATTTAGTCCCAAGCTAGACACAGTCTACAAATTGTCCCTGACTAAATGTTATTTTCAAAATATGAAATAGGTATTCCCTTTTTTATTAATCAGCTCTGTACTAAGAAACCATTCACCAAATAACATTGATATTTCTCCCCGTAATAATTTACTGTATTGATTTTTGCAATAATCCCCAAGTGGTTTTCATAAAAATACTTCTATACATCATTAAATATTTTGGATACCAATCAGAAGTGAACAGAATCCAAATTTACCCGGCAAACTTGCACATGTTTTACAGCAATAGCAGTCTCCTGTATTATAAGTCTTACTGACAAAAAAAGCCTTTATGTATTCACGATGGCACCTATGTTGTCTCCTCCAAAATAGTGTCATTCTCTTCACTTGCAAAGATGTTACTACACAGTTGCGTAGTATTTGGAAATTAATTTGATCTGAAGGTATTTTTGTCAAAAAGTGAAATCACTAGTTTGCCATTTCTCAGCAATAAGTACACACGAAATCCATGCAATCACGTGGTGAATACAGTCCATCTACACTAACTGGTCAGAATCTCCTGACATATTTTCATGAGTCTATTTTCCAATACTCGTCAGATGTTTTTAAGCATATACCATAGTTTTCAGTTCACAGGACACTTTGCTAATAGTTGTTAATAACTTTTGAACATACAAACAAATTTAAATAACAATTTGATATCATTGTTATTTAGCAACTCTAAATAGCTGGTAACATTCTATTATAACTAGGTTAAAATTAAACAGAATTCTAAGCAAATTTACCTGGAAATTTGTCAATTTAACTGAATGATGAACGAAGATCAGAGAGTGCAATTATATAACTTTTGACTGGTTGCAGACTAAAGTATGAGACATTACAACCTTATTTCTGTATCGTAAATGAAGACCTCTTAGAAAATAATAAACAGTTGTTGTACAAACTATGAGAAAACGTCTTCCCATATTTAAATGTATTACGAACAATCTGTTTAGTGGGAATGAGTGTTTTGCTGTATGTTAAGAATTTAGAAATAGATGTTAAGTAAAACCTAAACTCCAAAAACGTATCACCAATCATCCGGACTAAATATACACTGGTTTACTGACGTTTTAGTTCTCTTGTCAAAATAATAGATATTAGCATACGATAACACTGACCTTACATTTACTAAAAATTATTTTCACCCTAAGTTATATACATTAAATGAAATGCGTTATGATCCAAAAACAACCTTGCTAACGCTGTAACATTTCAGAAGTCTTCAGGATCAGGATTGCATTGTCTATGTTCATTTTCTGAAATACTGGAAACAACCGACACCGTTATGTCAACCAGGTGTGACGTAGATTTCATGCGTGTGTTCATATTAGATAGCTTTCCTATGGACACTCATGATAAGTTGCTTTTCCGTGGAATGTAAATTTATCAATTTTTACACAAAATCCCAGATGTTACGATAACGATTATATTTAACGAACACCTAAATATTAAAAATGACTGAGAATAACAATCAGAACGTATCGTTTAGTCGGAAGATCCTTTCTAGTTTAAAATCCTTTCGCAGTGTATATCCATGACACAATCCCTAGTCGTTATTACTGACTAATTTACATATAAATTCTTAAAGTCACAATGAGAAGTCGTGACTATGCCATGAGTGAGATAGGTATCACTGATGATAGTTACACTATATAGTTAACTGAGTGAAGTTATGGATCATTGGAAGCCGACTTACGAATCTAAAGATAATGTGCTTACAATAAGCTCTGAAAGGCTTATGCCCAGTCCCCAGGAGAATCGTGAATGAACGCTACAGAAGTCCTGAACTACAGCGAAACAACTGCAAAGTGCTGTTCGGTTTCCAATAATTCTCCAGTTTATCAGTCTTTTACGAAAATACGAGACTATGTTTGAACTTTCATTAATCAGTAAGGTAGTATAAAATGAATTAACGTCGTAGCATTTATCCTTTTGAGATTTTAATGTTGAAACTTTTGGTCTAAAACCATGTGAATCTTTAAGCGATGTTTCATTTCCTGTGGCTTCAAAATCGATTTAAACATTACATTTAAACCTGGTTAGAACAGCCTATTTTAATCTCTCAAAATTCTCATGCCTACAGAAGTGTTTTGAAGGACTGAAACTGACGACCTATAAGTTTCATATCCACCATACTGTTGGTCGAGATGGAGGACAGAAATGCCCACCAAACCCTAATTTACCCCGGACCTCGAGCATCGTATTCGGCTATTATTTCAAAAGAACGCAGGTTTTTTTGCACCCTAAAGTTTCAGACTTTCACTAAGGTTACTCAGTTTTGTTCTAAAATAACTGAAATTGGATAAAAATATCAAACAATTTTTTACTGGGATGACAATTTATAGATTGCAGGTATGAATCTGTCAACAAGTAACGATTTCGAAAAATTAAAACGATTTATAATATATTAACAATATTATACAGGTTGTGAAGATATACATATTTCCAAAGAGTAGATGAGAATAATATGTATTCAGCACATTGCTCTCCGCTGATATTCTGCCGTCGCTACAGTGTAATCTTCAAGACGGAAGTAACGACCTTCATTCTGTCTTAAAAATCTGTCACATAAAAGTATGAGACAAAAACAAACGTTTATTAATCAATGACAACTAAGTAGTGATTGAAAGGAACATATACATGTAAATAATCTAATTCGGAGTATAAATTAATAGTATATTTGTAATATGCCAATGGGTAGAAAAATAAGATTTTCTGACGTTTCGTGGTTTAGTGTAAGTCACTTTTTCAGAGAATAATTCGGAGTAGATTGAACTATTCTTTTAAGACGCTCCGTCAATAAAAATGTCCATTTTGAATGACTTGTGCGTAAGGGTTCTGAAAAAGATGAGCTTCTGCAAGCAAAACGTATTCATGACTCGCATACAATGTGTATATTTCTTTAAGGTGAAGTTATATGACAGTAAGGGAAATCCATATTTCATATTGAGTAATTTAGTTTTAGACTGGAAACCACTGAATAAAGAACGGAATTATTGTTCCAAATCAGATGACTACCTTATGGCTTTTTGAAACTGACTCCACTTAATTATTAACAATATTTTACTTCCTCATTTCTGTTATTACATTTTAGCCGAAATATAAGGTGTTATGGAAGTTAGGAAACAGAAGCATCGTATGTTCCAACTTTATATACACCAATTGTCTAGTTTTACATAAACTGTATCAATACGCACATACTTTGAGGTGTAGTTTCTTCTAATAACAGTTAATAGTTTTCACAAAGCTTCTTTTCTATGAAATTTTAAAAAAACATGCACCAGTTATTCAAAAGTGATAGTTTGAGTGAGTCTTCACAGTAGTAACGTTAAACACCTGAGAGAGCAATAATGGTAACATATACATAAATTTTGTAATAAAAGAAAACCTAATGATCCAAAAGACAATACTTACTGCAAGAATTCGTTGACCAATGCTTCTAGAACAGGCAGACTATTTACATCGACTTTGGTACAAGAAACCATGTCCCGGAGCTTAACTGCAATAGAAATACATACTGGGACTACAGTGAAGCAAATACAAACCAAAATAGTTATAAGTTGTCCATCATATCTATTTGCAGGTAATAGATTAAATAAACGATTTTAATATAATGGATATACTTTGATGAAAGCCTGTAAGTTATAATCGGTTAGTGTAGTTGTTACGAAAGAAGTAAACCCTTGAGATAGCAAACAACAAAAGAACATTCCAGTCTTGACAACAATGATAAGAGTGGGAATGGAATAATTTAAAGGAACTATGAACAATCTGAACAACTAATTACTCTGTCACTATTGAAATGTCAAACATATAAAGAATCAGTTAGTTTCTCATCAAACTTATATCACTACTACAGTAGATTTATATGTAGACTTTATGAGTTTCAAATAACCTTATATATAAAAAATATAGCAAGGGTGTTAGCAGATAACTATTTATAACAATATTGGTGACATCGCTATGATATGGCACACAAATATTTTACACCTGACTATAGATTGAAGCGATTCAATTTCCACTAACACGCCGCAACTTTATGACTTATAAGTTGGAAGATGAAAATCAACTTGATATGATTGGCTTTTCATCATTTAAATTCAAAATAACGGGATCATAAGCACATATTAGAAGTGTTTTTAAATGAATTCATTTGAACGCCCCCAAATGCCCTGGTACGACGAGACTGGGGAGAGCCAGCTCTCCCTCTCGAAATGCTCTCACATGGCCACGCGTATACAACCACTGACAGGGAAGTCCTACTCACTGCCTTCTCGTGGCGAGGATATTGTTTACAAAACTGAGAAGACGAAAAGCGAATGTTCGGCGCTTTAACCGGGTTGATGGACATGAAAACTTCACCTAGGGGAGTTGGAAAACCCTGATTCCAAACCAATGGTGCACATGAGCTCCGGGATCCTGAAGGAACAAATGGCGTATGAACCAATCGTTGGTCACTGGCTACCATGGGACTGCACCTCCTGACGTTGCTCCACTGCCTTGTGGATCAGAACTTCAGGTCGAAGGTTCTGGTGCGGTCCCCTAAGAAAATCACGTGGTTCGGTTTGGGCACCCGGGCAGTATCACAGCCCTCACACATATAAAGTGAGATTTGTGTGGCGCATATGTATTTGGTGCCTCCGTGTACCAATATATGTGTTAAAATAAATAAATAAAATCAATCAACTAACTAAAATAAATTTTTCACTTCCTCGAAGACATTTTGTCTTTTTCAAAAGCTACTTTTTATTCGTTAAAAATGGTATGGTAAATCAAAGCGCCGTTTAGTGATTTATGTGAAAAACTTGAAAACTACACATCGAATTGAAGGACGTACCAAAGAGCCTTAATAAGTGAATTGAACCATAAATATCTGACATTCTTTTATCTGTGTGACGTTTTAAAAGTTCAGCATATTGCAACCGTTCAAATTTATATAGGAGATGAGAACCGATAATCAAATTAAAGTAATGCTGAATGCCAGCGAGAAATTCACGTCTTAAATCAGGTCTTATTGCAGGATTTATATTATGTTGAGAATTTTGAGGTTCAGAAGTGGGTTCAGATTTCACCTCGATTTCAGCACTTTCTAAGAAGTCAGACAAAAGAGTGGATATTGGTTGGGAAGCAGGAAGCTCGTAAAGCTGCAAATTAACCAAATCAGTAAAATGAAACAAGATAAGCTTAAACAAGCTTTGTAACGACTACAGAGACAAGTAAATTGACAAAATAATAAAAATCATTTTCTTCAAACTCAGTCAATGGCTGACTGAAAATATCGTTAGCTTAGCAAAAACATGCAACCTAAAACAAAATGTGACAATGTTTGGAAGATGAATGGTCGAATGCTTCAGTGAACCGGGACAATAATGAAGGATATAATAAAAACATGATGGCTTTTCCCCCAAAATGCCCCGGTACAGCGGGTGGAGAAAGTCAGCTCTCTTCGAACTGCTCTCACATGGCCACGCGTATACAACCACTGACAGGGAAGTCCTACTCACTGCCTTCTCGTGGCGAGGATATTGTTTACAAAACTGAGAAGACGAAAAGCGAATGTTCGGCACTTTAACCGGGTTGATGGACATGAAAACTTCACCTAGGGGAGTTGGAAAACCCTGATTCCAAACCAATGGTGCACATGAGCTCCGGGATCCTGAAGGAACAAATGGCGTATGAACCAATCGTTGGTCACTGGCTACCATGGGACTGCACCTCCTGACGTTGCTCCACTGCCTTGTGGATCAGAACGTCAGGTCGAAGGTTCTGGGTGCGGTCCCCTAAGAAAATCACGTGGTTCGGTTTGGGCACCCGGGCGGTATCCTAGCCCTGACACAAATCGGATGGTCTATGTGACTACCTAACAAAAATATGCTTCCGCTTATTGAAGACGGTGGTACAGGCGACGATCTATTACAGTGATATGAATTCAGAACATCTTAGTTCCTCTCTTTAGGTTTAAATTGATTTTAATTTGCCAACCACTTTAAACTGGAGTAAATTAATGACATCTCGATACAAAATGGAACACGACTACTAAACAGTTACAGGAAATCTGACTTACACGAGCTTGACGAGTAATCAAGTCCCAGTCATCCACGAGCCATGCCTTTAAAGATGGAGGTATAGATACCATTAGTTGTGGCTTTGAAAGTAAACTGTCATCCTAACAAGATAATAAGAGAAAGGTTAGGTAGGTATTTGCACACAACAGAATGAGACATAGTCTGTTTCGGCAATTTACATGAATCTGCCGAATGCTAAGAATATATGAATTTTATTCGGAACCTGATTCATATTGCAAGAGACAGAACTTATTTCATTGCAGATGTACTGACTGATGAGTGAGATATTTGAAAATTCAGCTTCGTTAACACTGGGTTTATTATCACATGAATCAGAATGGCAGAGCTATGGGTCTAGGAAGTGTATGAAGAATCAAAACATAAGGCATAAGTTAACGTTCTGAACACTAAAAAAGTATGTAAGTATGTAACCCCTGACTTCAAAAAGTTAGCTTTTCAGATTTACATTCTCGATAGATTTTATTCCTGATGTCGCCCGACTTTTTCTTCTTCTGCTTGATACAGTAGTAATGTTGAATACACCGCTAGATTCTTCAGGAGGCTTTGAGGGTGCCTTAACATCTTCACTCTCCTTTACTTCTGTCGTCACAGGTGTGCTTGGTTTTTGATCTGCTTCACTGTTACTTTTAGACTGCTTCGCCTTAGGACTCTCCTCTTCTATAAGAACAGTAAGTGAAGTAACCCAGAAAGTACAACCTTGTTTTAAATGACCAGGCTTCAGTGTCCGCTCCACATCCTTTAAAACTTCCGGAGGTGGTAAAGATTGTGACTTTAAGTCAGATTTTCTTAAGACTTTGACTTTTCCAGACCTTCTACAACCCGTTCGAAACGTTAAGTAGGTAACATAATAATTTACATTTGCCGTTCCAACTCCTTCTGTTTCTTTAAACCCTCTTCATTATACTTGAACATACGCTTGTCAGTTACCCACTCATCCCAACTATTATCCACAAATAAATTTGATTACATCCTTACTTCTTATTCCAACCTTGATAGTGTACAAAATACATCACTCCATCTTCTTTCACTTTGACATCCAGACACTTGGCTTCATACATAAGAGGTCCATGGAAGCAAAGAAGTTTTTCGCCTGTGCAGACAAGCTTATGTATATTGAAAAAGATTATCCCACCTGGTTCATACTTTGGTTTCAAATCTACATTTGACATAGTAACGCAAGAGTTGAGATAAGCGCCATACACTACCTACAACTTTTAAAACTAACTGAAGACGACAATTTCATTTTCAACCTCTGCTGAATAGCCCTTAAAAAATTCTGAATGCTAAATGTGCTGAGCCTAACCGCAGGATGAGAAAGTCCTGAATGAATTGCAAGGTAATCAAGTTCTAGACGGTGGCAATACTAAAGAATGTAATATGAAAGGAAATTACTCTCATTCCACTCACGCGACCACATTATGAAATAGTGTTTACAGAAGTTCTCAGCACACCGGATTACCGTTTGGTACTCTTTACTACTCAGTCCTCTCAACTACTAGCCAGTCTAGATCACACAGACATCTCGACAACACGGCATTTTTCTAGACACATCCTCGAACGTTTTCATTACTGACTCCTGTTTTGACTGTGTTTGCCATCCTTCGGTTGGAAAGGTGTTGCGTACAAAAGCACTGAACAAATGTGACATATTTACATGTTACACACTCTTGTCCCCCCCACCTTCATAAAATAACCGTATCCTTTATACACGTTTCAGACTTGTGTTCAGAATCTAGAGCAACAATTCACTGAGCATCATCTAAGTGAACCAGTGCCACTCAGCAAACAGATTCTAAATAACTGTAAAACGATATGTTAGGATGTTAGACTTACGGTGGCACTTTGAAACCAAGTGTACGGTAACTCCCATTAGCTCAGGTGCGTCGTCGTCTCAGTGTTTACCAAACAAATGAGGAGAAAACATTTGCATAGAATCAAGGTTTGAGGTTAATTTAGAGTGTCAAAACATTTTTTCTTCAAGGGACCAGAAGGTATAGATTTGTTCACAAGGTTGAACAAAAGAGCATACAAAGTCTTTTTGAACATCGATGTCACTCTGTGAGTGCTTTCTAGTCACCCCAACGTCTGTTGTTTGACAGCGATACTATTCTTCTCTTGATTTCCTCCCTCTTGCACCCAACCAATTTTCATCCTTCGTAAACGTACTTTAACATGTCTCACTCTTCTTTGACAGGATGGTTATTTTTCGATTTTCGTCATGATTTTTTAATGAACTATGAGGATCTGCTGCAAACGCAAAGGAGAAGATTGGCGAACCAAGAGCAGCATTCCTACAGTTGAAGAACAAATGGAACTCAAGTCAACTGTTTGTAAGACAACATCAAAGTCAGAATCCTCAGTACGATCGTCAACACAGTTCTTCTGTACGGAGTTGAAAGTTGGAGGACTACCACAACCATCATGAAAAAGTTACAAGTATTTAGAGACAATTGTCTTCGAAAGATACTCAATGTCCGCCGACCTGATACCATCAGCAACAACCTATTATAAGAAAGAACAAACCAGCTACAAATGAAGAAGAAATTAGGGAAAGACGTTGGAAGTGGATAGGACATACATTACGGAAACCATCAAACTGCATCACGAGGCAGGCTCTAACCTAGAATCCTGCAGCTAAACGGGAAAGAGGGATGCAGAAGAGCACACTGCGTCGACAGTTGGAATCAGACATGAATAGGATGAATAGCAACTGGAAACAACTGGAAGGAACTCCCCGGAACGGAGCTGGATGGAGAGTGCTGTTATGTGGTCTATGCCACTCAATAGGGGTAACAGGCGTAAGCGAGTAAGTGATTTCATTTTGTCATTTATGACACTGAATGGTTGATAACAACGTCTTGTTAGGCCGGACTCAAAGATATACCATAGAGTGGTTGTTTGTTACCGCTCGCTGGCAATAGCCCATACACGGTTGTATTTTGAGGCAATACTGGCAGGCAAACGTTTGACTCTATTGTGTTGGGAACATTCTTGTTCACTCCCGAATTCCCGTAGGTTGAATTCTAGTAACCATGCTTTGGTTTATGTTGCGTTATTTCTTACCAGGCTTCCTACTGATGGAGTGGCGATGTATACTTGTGTTGCGTTTTGTGGTATCATTAGTAATTATTAAATGACATCACAGGTTTTTGTGCAGTAGGTTGTATTTTGATGTGGTCGAGGTGTAGCTGTTGACTGTGATGGACTCGAGGAGGCTTCGTGCACTACACGGAAGGTGCAATGGTTTGGTTTCATTGAAAAAGCTGAACAAGATCAATGCTATTAATTGTCTAAATCGTCTGACAGACAGTATTAAATCCAAACGAAGAACAAATGAATCGTAGATGCTAAGAATTATTCATGAAGCATTATCTCATATATTATTACTAGATAATCAGTTAGTAACTAGATTATATATATTTTCATATTCCTCCTATCATAAACTTTCGTTTGACTTGTCAGCCAATCTTATAAGATTTACCATTCTTAACTCATTTAGAATTCACCAGTTTCAATATCCTACACCCACAGCCACTTATGACTTGATATGTATGCTTATGATTTTTCATTTTATGGTGCGATGGGACCATGTCTGTTCGTGTGTAAACCATGTATGCCAGAATCATATGATTTATACAGTGGGGACTGATATTTGTGTTCTGGACTGTGACTCATTAGGTTAGGCGAGAAGCTACCATACAGAAGACCAATAAGGACTCAGATTTGACTGAAGACTGGTTGCACACATATTTTTCTGGTTCAGGGACAAGGTCAGGGTTCCGATTGGCGACTTTGTCACGTGAAAATCAACAGGTTCACAGCAAACAATAGACAGAATATTAGTTTTAACGAGGTTGAGATTAGAAATCTGTAAAATACATTACAACTTTTGGTAAGGGTCTAAAAAAGTTTCTTTGTAAAGAATTTCAGGTTCGTAACTTGTTCACTATATCCCGAATGCTCTTCCAAACGACGGTAATAAAGCATCCTTGTCAAGATATCTTGTTTGGAGGCCATACAGCGATTTGCTCATTGAAGATTCACTTCCGCATGGAAAAGCAATCATTTTTATTTAGTGACCAGATAAGAAGCATCATCACCGATTTGTCTAAACTGCTACATGTCTCGCTATTCATCCATCACTGCCATCATAATCCTTGTAGTTGTTATCTTTAACTGATCCCACTGTGTATCTAATTTTTTAAATGCATACTATTCTTGTCCAGACTTTTGCTAATTGACTAAGTAAGTGTTTTTTCATAAAGCCGAATTCAAAAGGAATAAATTCACTCATTCAAAATCAAGATTTTTTAATCATCAGATGATTAACGAAGTTACCAGCACCAGTGTTGCCGAGTAGTTAGACTACTCCGATTAGATACGATAGAAGACCATGAAGTGTACTTAAACATCCAAGCGCTGCCGTAAATAGATACCTTAGTGTACAACAGATCGTTATAAAAAAGTGAATAATGAGCATCATTATGACGTAAACATAAGCATCAATGTAAATATCGGCTAATAAGATGTTTGCGTCGTATATTTTTTGACCCTAGGCCTAAAATAAAGCTAGAATGCTCTGAAATCAAACATAGAGTTCGGTTATTTATCAATGACCTTTCGGACAATGAACACTGATGGAAATAATTGAGCCAGCTGATGTGACTGTCTAGTTAATCTGAAATGGTTGACAGCTGTTGGAAATAAATGCTAATAAAGCTGTTGTCTTGCAAACAACTGCCTGAATAACAAAGACTATTGTGCTAAATGATGTTACATAGTGCACAATACAGAACATGACGAGTGATAAATTTAAACCAGTTAGTTCCGCTGGTTTCACGTTCCTATTCAACCGTCACCACTGGTTATCACAACATAAATAAGTGCTCAGTTAATCCTTCGTATTAGGTTATCGAATTCACTCCAGAACGAATAGTTGTTATAAAGGTAAGTTGAAGCCATGCTGGAAGTTCTCTATTATCATGCCATATCTATATAAAACATTTTCAATTGTTGTGAACTGTAGATTTTTTGGAGTTCTTTAATCTAATGCGTCAAAACGCAATTATTCTGTAGTGTGGCGTCGAGTCGCGATTGATTATGATCATCACTCCAGGAAAACTACGTGCTAGTTAACCGATAAGATATCCCGTGAGCCCGTAGCGTGGCGTCGAGTCGAGATTAATTATGAACACCGCTACCAAGAAACACGTGCCAAATGACTCCAAAAATCCCCTGGAAGCCAAATATCGGAAGGCGCTCAATGGACCAAGTCGAGATATATTTGCTGGCGATCTCGTGGTATCGAAAGGATACCGAGATCGTGACAGGATACAAGCTTGATTGCAGAAAGTAACCGAATTCGCGCGAAGTCACAAACAAAGTGTGCGAATAATGGATGCTTTTTAGCACAGTTAAACAAAAGCACATTAAAACAGTCACTGGTACAATCGGCTATAATAATAATTGTTTTCAATAAACCAATCGTGTTCTCGTGATAAAAGTGAGTCTTTACAAGCCAAATATTAGAAGGCAGTTGCTGGCTGTAGTCGAGATGTATTTGTTAGTTATCTCGTGGTGTCCGAAGAATACCGAAATCGTGCCAGGTTACAAGTGTGAATACTGAGCGTAACCGAATCCATGCAAGGTCACAATTAATGGAAAAAGTATGTTTTGGTACAGTTAAACAAACAAGTACGGTAAAACAATCCCTGGTACAACCGGTAATAATAATAATTGTTTACATTACACCAATCTCGTTCTGATATCTGGTACGCAACATCATTGAGGTGGTGATCATAGTCAACCGCGAATCGACTCCAAGCTACAATTGGTGAGCCTGACGTGATCTTATGCGTATCTACAATTTTCACGACATTACGTTGTACTGTTTGTTAACATCCAAAACAACTTTGCGACGGAAAAATGTATGTATATTTTCATCCCTAATATGTAAAAGATATTTAATTTTGGAATGCGTATCTGCCTGTTTGACCAATGCAAGTCTTTGGACTTGTCAGGCGCGCGTAATTCGTATCCTGTATGCTATCATCGTTACGTTTGTTGGTCGGATGCAGCGGAAATTAGAACAATTACCTGGTCTTAGTAATGTGACTGGGAAATACACAAAAAAGTGTACAGATGAACCATACCCTCGTTTGTTTGTACGCAATACGAGTGAAGGTAGGAATGATGTCACAATCCAAACGAATAAAGTCAGCCAGAAAGTTCGGGAGTTAATAATTATGATGTCTCATCTCCTGTATGGCCTTCGAATGCCACAAAGTCTTCAACCATGCAACCCCGATCGGACTTCGCCAATAGCCCTGATTACTTACCAGTGAATCATAAATGTCCGAACATTCATATCGCCAAACCTCAGTATGTAACTCCGAAATCGTCAACACCACACCAATCTTTGATATCTAGTGGACCAACCATGTCTTCAGGAGGAAAGGTGAGGCCTCAGAAATCAAATATTCCTGTTAAGCCACAAGATATACAACGTACCAAACGATATATGAAGGAAGTAGTGAAATCGTCATCATCAGGAAGTGTGTCCGCACTTCAGTCTAAACCACAGGTGTGATAATAGCCACTCCATGTTCTCCACAGGTTAATGAACAGGGTCTCACCAGGTCATTTGATAGTTTTTCTGTGAGTGGAAGAGTGGCTTCATCTAGTTCATTTTCTGGAAGTGAAGAATCATTTCATACAGTCTCTGAAAGGGCGTCGTTTTTGAATGCGAAAGATTTTAGTCAAAGATTGTTACCTAGTCCATGCAATGCGTCAGGTTATTCTTATGGGACAGAGGACAGGATTCCTTCAACAAGAGAACATTCACGTGACCGATCGTCCAATACTCAGCCACCAAATTTACTGAATGTTGCGAAAAACTCACCTGGAGGTGCTAACTTTCAGCAATGTTGTAAAAGATTCTCAGATGATCAAGAGACCTATCCGCTAGGAGATGAACAGTTGTGTAATAGAATAGGTCAGATAAATCTCTCGGATAATGGACCGGCTGTTTCACCTATGCGTATCGGCAACGACTCATCATTCCAGTCCACAGAACGACATATTTCGTACTCTGGTAGTCAGGAAAAACAAGATACAAGTGAACTTAAGAGAAAACCCATAATACAACTCTATGGTCTTCAACCGAGGCACGCCTCATGGAATGTTGGTAAGTATATATAAATGAGTTATGTCCAATCTGTTCCGGATTGAACTCTCTAACTAATAAAACATGTAGAATATTTGTCACCGGGATTAGGTTCGACGGTCACAACTATTATTTTGGTGCAATAGGATGTTTATACATCATCAGAAACATATGACTATGATAAAAATTCAAACTCCATGGGAAGAAAGTTTTTGTTACTAATTGTGATTCTTTTGTAACTAAATATTTGCAACTCTACCAACCAACCCATTTTGTTCTTAGAAGATGATTTAACAGTTTAATAAGAATATACCTATTTAGCGATCGCTCGTGATGCTGCCTGGTAATTGCTTCCTTGCTTAAATCACAAACTTTTGAATTTCTTCCACGGTAAAAAGCATTTCGTAAGTTTCTTCGCCAACTGGTATTGTCATTGAACTAAGTCACAACATTAGAGCATTTTAAAAGTTCATTACTCCGTAGTTTCACAGACAGCTGTCAGAAAATAATAATGCGCTTTAATGCTCAATGATTATAAAACAAAATACTTATTAATAATTTGTATCTTTTTAGTCTCTTTTTGTCACATGTAAACTGAGAATATTACTTCATATGCTTTGGCGAAGTATCAAATATCCAACAACAATGACCAGGCAAAGCCTGTCACTTCTTGAGCTTGCTCCAGATTTAAACATTTTTGAAAGTATATCTATTATGCCGCCATTATAATTGTGCTTTGCATTCAAACTAACTTACTGAAAGTATGTTGAGACTGACCATGTTTTCTGAAGGCAGAAAACACGGTCTATTTTTGACTTTCCCTCGACCGAAGCTATAAATTAAACCTATCAGTCATCACACTAACCACGGTTTGTGGCCAGCTGGGTATGTCGCTTATACCTAACCAGTTTTACTAACTCGTTCTATTCTTTTTATTTAAATACCTTACTATATTTTATTAGGTTTTTCAAATATAGCTGGATTACCAGATGCTCGAATGCCGGGTTCACAATTCACGCAAAACGCTTTGGAACATTACTTGTCAGACTTGGTAGCAGATGAGCAGAGAATGATGGCAAGTAGTCCTTGTACGGGTTTGGCGCATGGTTATTGCGAAACAACGTCTGGTTGTGTAAACCCCTCAGTTTCTTCAAAATCTGGTGAGACTGAGAAGAAGATGTGCTCTACAGATTTATTACAGTTTTTGGAGCAACGCATTGAAAATGCTTTGAGGAATATGACGTCTATGGGTATGCTTAAAATATAAATATTCCTTAAATGAAACCAGGCTAGATTAAGATTATTTATTTTTCTCAAGAATATAATAAAGAATTAACTACTCTCTGTAATTTAGTCCGAATGTTTTAGGTGTTCCTTCCAGTTTTTACTTGAAACTTTCCATTACTGTTCTCGGGTGTAATAAATCACAATTTTTTAATGGTTTTCTCCTTTTTACACGAGAAATTCTGGACAGTTTGTTAACATTTCACCAATTGATCTACATAACTCATCGATAAACTGTCTTTTCATTTTAGATCGGTTTTTGAATTTTCCAAGAAGTCTTATATCAGTACATCACTACTTCAAACTCAAAGACAGTACAATTTAATACTTAAATAGGGACACTATTTTTTCCCCACTTTCTATATGCTTCGTAGCAAGCTGCAATTTTTGAGTTTTAACACAAGTTTATCATTTAGATATCAGGAAACCACTTCTCCCCTTTAATGAACTATTATTTTTTAGTCTAGTTTTCCAGTTAAATTATGTAACTAAGCTTATGCTTTCACTGTATTGCATTCATCAACTACATAAATTTAGGCTTGAGTATTTTTTGATAATGTGAAAAATGTTATCGTCATAAATAAAATAAGTATCCAAGAGAATTTATTTGGCTTATGAGGCTAACTGAAAAGCAAAATTACTTTTTAGTATAAATTTGTCTTGAATAAATTGACTGTTGTAAGGGAATTTGATTAGTAGTTTTATCTCCGGTTTTGTTTTATATGAAACAAGTAGATAGGGTTTTTATAATCACTGTGGCTAATGTTCATATGACTGTGCGACTATATAAATTAGTATGCTTTGGTAGAGTTCTTACTAAATTCTTTTTTATGGGTAGTGATAAATAACATGTGCCTCTTCTTTCTAAATGTTTGTGAATAAGTGAAGTTTTTAAACCCTTAAATATTTTCTTGTTTTGGATTATTAGACTCAAAACCATACCCTTATCATAGTACACAAAATCGGATGCGCCCCAATAGAAGTGCTTCCTTAAATCCAGTTTGCGAACCTCGAGTAAAAGGTGTTGAGTCACCGTCAATGGCTGGGAACCTCTTTCAAAATCAACCGACGTTTGAAAATAATGATTCACAACAGGTTTATTACAACGGAAACTCTGCTACGCCTCTAAATAGACAACACATTAGTTCTTATTCAGATGAACGCCCGAGCCAAACTTACGCAGAAAGCAATGTGCTTCAGCAATTCAATTTCGATGAGGTTAGCGTTCAAATTGAATGCAATGTGATTTTTGCAGTGTACTAGCACTTTAGTTTAAAATGCAGTAACTAAGTAAATGAATGTGATATTGATTCGAGTGTCTTAATCTGTCAAAGTTTTCCCATTGTTTCAAAACAAATAAAAAAGTTTGGCTCAAAAGTGTGTTGTTTCAACCGATGGATGTTGTAAATTAAATTTCACGTATTGTAGTGCCGTAAGGTATTGGGCAGCGCTGATCACTAGATGTTTTATTCTTATTACTGCTCGTTCTCTGAAATCACTATGTTTATAGATAGAGCGGCGTAACAATTGTTTCAATCGCTAAAATATCTAAAATTTCTTGTGTAGCATGTTTGTGTATTTTGTTTTTACCACTTTCCACAATGATGATGAATCTTTAAATATTGAAAGTAAGAAATTCAGAATCATAGTAACGTTTCATACGTTTTTTAATTCCCGGTAAACATAAGCACAAAGAATCTCGTTCATAGTGATGCTTAAGCTAAGAAACAGCAACCTGATTTACTAAAAGCCTCCAGAGCATTAAGCCCCGCTACTACTTGTCTTTGTACTAGAAGATAAGGAGCATACAAAGATCGAAAATAACTCGAGTTAACCAAAAATGTACCAACTTGGTCTTTATTCTTTGTCAATTTCCTATATAATATTTTTGAGTTCAGAAATCCTAATTCTTTGCTCCACTAGTGTTGAAAGGTTCTTGATGAAAGTTCTTGGAGGTTTCCTATTTCTCGTTGCGATGACTATCTTTTTGGGGATGAGGTGAATTACTTTAAAAGTTTGCCAGTATCTAGAATCAGTGTTTATCACCTCCAAAACTTAACTTCTAACCCAGAACCAGTTAATATCTCCACACTTATTCTATAATTAAGTTTAAGGAGATTGAGAGCATGCGGTTATGTAAGTGGTTTGTTTCCAAAGGAAGAACTAATGTGAATACAAATGTAATTGAGAGATTTTCCCTTAGTTGTTAGAGGTGTTGACCCGTACGGGTTCATCTCGTATAAACCTTCTAGTTGTTGTTTCCGAAAGTAATTGGGGGCTATGACTAAGGAGATTTGAATGAATAATTAATGATGAACGTGGAAGAATATGAAAAGAATCCATAATTTTTTTAAATACCCGAGCAAAAATATATAAGAATGGTTACCAGAATGACCATCTTTATTGTAGAAAGGACGTTTAACTAAAAGCGGAAACTAAAGGAGGAACATACGGTTTGTTAGTAGTTGCCAAGTTTCGATAATCTTTCCTGATATGCTCTTGTAAAATGTTTATTGTGTATTTCTTATATGAATATAACACAATTGATCATTATCTCATCCCTAAAACACAAACCCTTGTTTCGGTGAATGTAAATATTTCGCTGAACATTCAGTTGTCTTAATTATCCTTTACTGAATGGTTTCTTAGGGGAACAAGAGATATCTGAGTTTTGACATCTTTATGCTTTAAGGATGAATTTCCTATTTTGACCTTTACATTTACTCTGTTTTGTCTTTCCTTCCGTTTGATTGAGTGATAGGTTGACGAATCATCATGTCAAATAGATTTTCTATTTTATTAATTCGTAGAACTAACTACACTTAGCAATATTTCCACTTTTAATATGACCAATGGATAACTCATTGTTACGATTTCGGTTTTTGACTTTAAATTGTTTATAAAAACGGGATTTTCTGGGCCTAATTGATTGAACTGTAAGTAAATTGGGCATTAATTTGTTTTTTACATTAGAAACACTTATATGGACAAAACGTTTCACATTTTTTTACTTGTTCGAGACCTAGGAATCGATATGCTTAATAAAATGTTTTTTTAGTTGCAGTATCTTCTTAAAGCTGTCAGAGATTTGCTGGCGTTACGCACTTCTTCTGCATACACAAACGTTTCGCTGGGACAAGATGTATCTAAAATGACTGAACTAGATAAACCACGAAAGCATGGTAAAACTGAACGAAATGAAACATGTGCAGTGTCAAACAGAGATGATCAGAGTATGTGTACGGAGTCACCATATATAGCTAGATCATTATCAAGCAGTCGTAGTAGCAGTGCTGTAAGAAACAATCGCTTTGAGACGACGTCAGAATCTCGAGGTAGCCGACTGAGTTCCGGAATATCCGAAGACGGTAGTCATTCAAATGCTGATTTAATGCATCAGCGTCTACCCATAGGTTTCCAGCATTTTGAGCGGTATTTGGATAGTAAATTTGGCCCAGACCACCCAACTAACAACGCTTTCACAAACGGTTCGGATGTTCAGTTAAAACCTGAGTCATGTGTGAAAACAATACAAACGAGTTCAGGACATTCCCCCTCAGCATTGTCGGGAAATTCATCTGACCACAATTCACACATGTTAACTAAACAAAAATCACACAGTTCCATTCCAATGAATTTAGGAACTACTCAAACAGGTATTATTACCATCAACAAGGCTGAAGAAACCGTCAATCGCTCTTCTACAACACTCGTTTCGCAACACCCCAGTAATTTAAACGAAGTTTCCTGTCCAATGTATACGAACTTGCAGTCTGGTAAGATTCGACTACCTGTTTATTCCTCTTGTTTTTGATTTACAAGTCCTACGGTTTGCCAGATAAATCTGTTTGTGGCTTCTCTCCTGGTGCTTTTGGGTTATGGCATGTTAACAAAATCAGGAAACGCATAAAGTGTTCAGCTTTTGTCATTAAAAATATGTTTGGGTACATTTATATTCTGTTTGTTAACATCCCTATGAGGTTTTCACGGCATCAGAAATAATTAATTCTACATATAAAGACGTGAAACCGTTGGAATCATAATATGTACTTTATGCGATCACTAATAGCTTAAGTTATCCATACTTTTGTTATTGAACAAAAATAGTCTGGACAGTGGTGGTTTTTTATTAAAATAAAATCAGAAGAGGACATTTAACGCCTAATAATGGCTTTAAAATGTTTACTTAAAAAGTATTCGAAAATTAACTGTTATAACTTCTGAAAGTACTTCACAAAAATGCCGTAGTAGCTCAACTATTAATAAAAATTAGAGATCACATCAATAAACACGAATGAATAGGGTTGTTGAAACTGTTTAATTTTATTGAGATTACGAACTGACCTAAGTTAGACAACTAGCTAAAACCCTAAAACCTTAGATGTCTGTTTCATCATAGTATGAAACTCCTCGACGGTATACACCCACAACTCTGCATCCAAGCATCAAACCTAGGACTTCCAGTCTCGCTCGCTAAAGCTTAACCTGTGGGCCACTGGGCTGGGATCCAGTGGTGTGTAAGTCTAACTTCAGTTAATCCATGATACTGAAAAACCATCTTACACGAATAAGACCGATGAATAACATATTGCATTAGATATTATTCTGAGGCAACTAACAGAAATTAGGAGTTAAGGGAATGAATGAGAAAATGACGATACAACCAATTTAAAACGTAGTTGTCATTTTTGTATGAAGTTGATTGGTTATACTATAAAAAGCTATTCAACGATGGGTTCTAAAAGCCAAACTAAAATTAAATTCTGTGCTACTTGTGAGACACTGCTAATACCCAAAGTATATCCAAACTCAGTTGCCAACATGTAATGGGAATTAACATTTATTTAAAACTTAAATCGTATAATTTAAGAAAAATGGGTGAAAATGTTTCTTTTAGAAGTACTATCTTAGGCTAGCTAACCGACTACAACGGATTTTACGACATATGAATTGTGTTCTGTATTGTTTACTATTGGTCGACAAACTGACCACTGACTATACTTATCTTAAATATCGTATCTATTAGCAATCTAACATAACTTAATTTTTTTATTATATCCCCAAGATTATTCAGGACAAACAGAATGGAATTTAGATGAAAAACTAACAATGAATAGTGAATCTTGTACTTCAACATCTAACCAACCTGGTTTGGTCACACATTCACATAACAGTGGATACGTATCTGTTCCCCTCATAAATCACTCAACCTCTTCTCATACTGGAAACGCAGATGGTAATACTAATCATATGAATTACTGTACAGAGTCAAATAACATATATGCTCCCGATCTTCAACAGGGACAAGCAACTTCTTGGCCACCGAATTGGTACCAGTGGTACATTTCTTCTCACATGTTTCCACAAAGGCATCCATCATATTCACAATTTCCCTATCACCATTACTATTACCCACACCTGAAACAACAACAACAATTCGGTCTTGATCATACAGTTTTTTCACAACGCATGAATCGTCTAGTCACGCCTTTATCTTATGTGGTAAGTCATTATATTGAATTTACACACTATTAGTCTTAGACTGTATTTAAAATTTCCTTAATATTGTTGATATTCAATGTGTTAATAAACAAAGATTTTAATATTGCTACTAATGTTGAAATATAATGGATCATTATGATGATTTTGTGGTATGAAAACCATATCTACACAGCATGTGAGGAATTCACTATAATAATTTCTGTTTTAAACTAATATTCATTTTTTTTACCTAAATAATTATCTAGTATTCGTTCTTTTGGATTCATTGTTTTATTGTGTTATCGAATTCACCAGTCAAAACATTCCTGATATTGATTTTGTTAGATTCTGCAAGGTAATCAGTTCCACAGTAAGTACTCGTTCTCGATGTTGTGTGTTGATGTTAACTGGTACCTTTCATTAGGTCTGTATGTGTATGAGCTGTGAAACAAGCCTTTGTTATAGCAAATAACCTAACATATCCTGTATCTGGTTTATTGATTATGCAACTGGTATTTGTTTGAAATTCATGTTGATCATCTGCTGTGTTCTAGTTTTAGCTTAACAATTTCCGTTGTTTATTTTTCCTTATTTCTGTTATAAGATCATTTTTGTTGTTATGAGCCTCTGTTTATTGAGAAAAAAACATTTCAGTAAAATCAGTTTACGAGTAATACGTTGATATTCATCACAGTAATCTAGAAACTAATATGTTTCGATAACTTTGTTGTAAGTTTTACATTCGAGTTATCTAGATTGTTGTGATTAGTTTCTTAAAAGTATTGGGTTTTGTTTATGCTTTAACTAGTACTAGTGAAAACCCAACATCAAACTGTATGAAATCGTTTATTTTATAGATATCTACTATTAATAAATAGGTGTCTGTAAATGTTTTTGAAAAACATACACAATAATGTGGGAACCAAAAAATCATACTAGTTTAAAGTGCTAGACTCTGCAAAAAATGCAACAGAAAGTCAACGGGAATATAATGGTATCAGTACAAACAAGCAAATTATAAACTACAGAAAGAATGGGTAAATAACAAATTTCCAATGCTTATGATTTATAGGTAAACAACCAAATAGAATTTATAAACTCTACACAATTACTGGGGCATGGTATGCAAACCTGTGAGTCATAGACGAGTTGCACGGTTACAAGACATATTACACTAATCACCCACCTGCTACATAGGATGATTATCACACTATAAAGCAGATTGACTTTTAATAGAAAATTCCACCGATAAGATTTTAGTGCATTGGTTGAGTGCTAAAGTACCAACCACCTGACTTTGAAGTCCTAACCTTATTCTTGTTCATTGTCTATTTAGAACAATGATGAAGAAGGCTAAATTAATGCTGGAAGTTTCTCAATGATTGATATATTGATATTAGCATTTTAAGGAGAATATCGTGGAGTCAACCAATTTGTTGAAATTTACTCTTTGATCATATAGTTTCCAAGTCATTCACGTAGCTTAAATTCTTCACTATTTGTTACATGAAATGTTTCCCATATCATAACGAAATGCTGATCAGTAGGTTAAGAAAGGTGGTTTTAATAATCATAGTTCACATAATTCTAAAATCAAGATATGGCTTAATGCTCTGTTACTGGTTCCAACTCAATGACTTGCATATGTATATATATATATAATTTTTAATGCAAAATGTTAGAAAATCTATTGTATATTATCTACTTTTACAACACACAGATGAATTCTCCTCCAAACTATTCGCCATCGGGGCATTTTTGCTGCATGGATCCAAGCCATGGACACGTATACGAAGGCAATTGTACATCCCCTTTGACTGAAAGTTGCCATTTCGTCTCCTATGATCCACAGACTACAGAAAACCCACTACAAGCAACAACAGCAGGTGGTCTATGCTCATGTGCAAATCCTGATGGAATCAAACGATTTGCTAATATAAACTACACCTATTCGGATAGAATCCCAACAAATTCTTATGCAGCTTATAGACCATCAGGTGTTTATTCACCTCCACCTGGTTATCCTTGGTTTCCTTGCATGAACGCTGTTCGCTGGGATCCATTTTCTTATAGTAACAACAATAACCTAGGTATGTTAATGTTTATTTGTGAATTTCTATCGAAGGTATCCCATTTTATTGTGTTTCTTGCCTCCGACTACACTAAATCATGTTTTTAAGTCAATCTGAGTATTAGTTTACCGAGCTAAACATTATTCCTTCGGCTTGGAAGTGTCATTGGACATGATTTACAACACTGTCTATCGCGTGATTCTAGAGTACTTCCAGTAAAACAAAATGTCTCTTGATAAGTTAGTAGCATTAAAAAAGTATTTTGTTTTAGGATGATACAACGTGCTTAGTTCAAGGAATTTTGCTCACCTTGGTTACGATGTACCTAACTACTAAAATAATGGTTGAAGGAAATGTGGACACCACTCTAGGATACAAGTGTAATTTGAGAGAACCTTAGTATTACGTCAAAAAGAACGGATGTAAGTTGAGACGGTAAAAAGAACTGATTAGTAATAAAAATATATACAATAAACAGAAAAAATTAGTCAATAAATTTTTTCATCAATAGTTGTCCTGTTGTCTATATTTTTCGACTCATTTTATTATTGAGACCCTCAATAATATGCGTAATACTGACAAGTGAGTTGATTTAATTTGTCACTCTCACATATTAGAATAAAATTGTTCTCTCAACTATGTTTTTAGTTTCACCATTTTACAGTAAAACCCACTATCGTAAGCTTTCCATCCGTAATTATGAACGATCTAAGAATTTCGTTCTTCAATGACTATCCGAGATGTATAGTGTTTTGCAGCATTACTAGAAGTTCTAAACCATGAAGATAATACCATGCACACATGAAATCTAAGATTATTTTGAACAGTATATTAGTGACAGAAAGTTATTTATCATGTTAAAAGAAACGAGCAAAGAGTTGTTTCAAAGCATCGTATGTATTTGCTACAATAAATATGTGCGCTACAAGTTTTTCTAGTTAAGAATAATAGTACCTGTTTTCTTATCTCAACATGGTTAAATAAGGGAAAAGTAGAATGGAAGTGTTTTCATACATCCTCCTAAACTAAGCTGTTAGTTGAAGTTAATATGCTAATTAATATAATAGAATCCTTTAACGGTTATCTTTTGTAAGTCAGTTAAAAAGTTACCTTAAAAATCTATATTTTAAGATACCTCTAATACAACTACATCTTAACTATACAAATTTAGATAAATCGTTAACACAGGAATCTTTACACACACGCTATACAATAAGAAATCAGTTCATACTCCCCAACATAATTTCATTACCAACCATATTCCTGTATATTTATCATTAAAAAAACTAAGTAATATTGTCATTCACTGAGCCAAAAAATACGATTGCTTTTTATAAATCAGGCGGAACATGTAACAGGAAAAAACAGTTTGGATTAATCAGCTTACTTTTTCCCAACGTTTTCCCGAATTCATTCACTTAAAGAAATAAGAGCGATTATAAAATATTGTTTTATTTTGTAACTTCCATCTAAAGAATCCTTTGTTCTATAGTGAGAAAGCTAATTATTCACTTGTAATATAATTATAATTTGTATGTATTTCATCTTTTTCACTTTGTGTATTTTTCTCTATACACTTCAGTGTTAAATTTAATGAATACCAGATGATATATTGGCAGAGATGCCCTTTTGTTTGAAAATTCATTGTTGGTGGCATTTAACATTTCGTTTATTTTTCTTACCATTCTTTCTTCCGTATGTATGTGTGTATGTGAATACAAGTAGTTGAATGTGTCGAGTTTCGTACACTTGAAGCATTCATAATACGACTTCTTTTTTCTAGATATTTTCACATTAGGTAAATTTAAGTTTTATGTGAACACATACCTAATCTGATGTACTTTTCGTGGTATTTTCAAAAAAATATATTTATTTTCATGTGTGCAGTTATATGCTGTCAAATCAGTGAATATTAGTCTAACTTGAAATTACGGCAGGTGTCAGTTTGCTAAAAAAAAATTCTCGTGTTATTTTAAGAAAATTAAGCAAACTGATATAGGTTGGAGAGTTTTCTGTTTAATGTCATGCTTTTCAAAGATCAGTAATGCGTACTAGTTTTTGTATGTTTATTTACTGCCTGAGTTTTGAGGTTAAACATATCCATAAATTTGAAATTCATACTTCATTCCTTTATATTTTCAGTATAGATGCTGTCTATATTTATCGATAAGTGGAGATCTGTCGGTTATAATCGACGTATAGTCTAGCACATGGCTTCGTTACTTTAAATCATTGCATTATATTAGCAAGAAAATATGAAATTAACAGAATGAATAACGAAGGAGTTAAAGTAATGTAGTAGTAATGATAATGAAAAAGAGTAATCACTCGTAATATAGTTCAGGAAGCACGAATAAAAAGATGTGTATAATGAAATACAGGAACTCGATATCTAGAGTAAATTAAAGAGTAAATGCTTCTGTGCCATTGTGACCAATTCTGACTAGACGTCTAAAGATTCGATTTAATACTTAAATTACTTAAATTTGAGTTATATATGACAGAACTGACTCCTGCTCCACCAACTTTGCATTTAAGTAGTCGGAAAGTATCAATCGCTAGCCCCAACACAATATGTGTGATTTGAACTTGAGTACATGAATTCGTACTTTGTAAATGAGTAAACAAACACTTTTTTTCAATGTGTATGCTAGTAAATAAGATTAATTTATATTTCACTAAATGCTTATCTAGATTATGACATTTCTATTTCCTTAGAAATTAGAAGAATCCGAAATATTTGGACGATTTATTGCTTTTAGGTTGATTAAAAAATCCATAAGTTATATGTTCTCATCTGCTTTTTCCATCTTGGTGTGATTAAAACTTTATTTTGCCAAAAAAGAAATCTAGGATATACATAACGGCCTTTATTCTCGTGAGTTTGCATGAATACTCAACGATATTGTTAATAATAAATAAAAACGTAGTCTGGATGATATAGACAAGGAAAAAAATCCAATTTGAAGTAAAACGTTGCGAGTATTATAACAATAGGACACTACAACACTTCCTTCACCTAGAATTATTTATTGTTTAATAAAGTTGATATTATGAATACGAAATGGAGTGGTTACAAAATGCATACATACACTTGTAGCTATTATAACAACATCTTGCATGTTCATTACTAAACATTTGTCACGTTATACAATCTGATTTTGCTTACATCAATCGGTATAATTTTTTCAAAAACATGTGAAATCCAGAATTTTTCTCCATATGCTTGTTTTTGATGCAAGACATTATATTTCCTTTATTTTGAGATATATAACTAAGAATTTTATAACCTCCATGTGATGCATGTATACATTGGGTAAATGTATTAACTCATTTAATTTTTTATCTTACAGAAAACTACAATTGGAATGCTTATTTTCAACGTCCGACTTATGGACGATTTACAAATTGTATGCCTCGTTCTGGTAGTGCAAATGCTGGGTTTACATATTCGTCTGAAACAGATAATTTATCAAATCATACATCTGAACGTGGAGCAGCTTCAGAACTTGATAGATTTAAACAAAATAGCAATCGTTGTGAGCATTATTATGCAATTAATCCAAGTAACCAGGTATTTATACTGTCAGATCAAACAAATGATGCACAAAGCTTCTTTCATCACAATAATAATAATGGTAACGTTTTACAGTCACCGGCTTTACGCTCAATGACTAATTCGTTTAGTGCCAATGATTTAGCCGCTTATCATAATCAATGTAGAATAGGAATGAGATATACTAAGTCAAGTTTTGATTTAGCTCCAGAATTACCCGTTGAACCGGGATTAGCTTTAATGGATCATTCTAATTTCTATTCAAAAATTTCAGTAAGTTTCACATGTAAATTTTTAAATACTTTGAGTAAATCTGTGTGCTTTTTTCAATATAGTTTTTGTTCAGTTTCTGTTAATCACTTTATATAACTGTTTTATTACTCAGAAATAGATGCTTATGCTTGTTTTAGTTTATCATAAAATATGTTTTCCAACTTTATTTGACTGATTTCTTTCATTGAAAAAATACTTCTAGTCATTAATTGAAATGGACAACAATAGTCGTTTAATTTTACCGAATGGATGGTCTGAAAGACGATCAGGTCTTGGTCGATCATATTATACATGTGATTCAACCAGACGATCCACATGGAATCATCCACTTATTGGACCGTATGTACCACTGGGATGGGAACGTGTTGATTCAAGTCAATCAGGTGTTTACTATCAAAAGTAAATAATGAAAAATTTGCCATTCTTATAATTAATAATTATTACATTACTATATTCTACTTTTATTTGTTTATTCCTGGATTAGTATATAAAAATCTATCCTTTGTAGTGGCTTTTTTAATGTCCAATAAACAGACAACTACATATCTACAAATTTATGCTGTGTGATGTTAAGCATTGTTCTTATCAAACGGATAAATACGAGTGTATCAAGTTTGGGGACTTTTTATTACAGGGGCCTTATAAAGGTTACCAAAATTTTATAGTTTATATCACTGGTTGTTCCCAGTCAGACAACCATTGAAAATTAAAAAAAACACTGGACAGCTGTTTAGTCCTAGTATGGGACTTCTCAGTAGTAATCATCCCTACCGGGGACTAAACACAGGACTTTTAGGTTTCGCTTTGAGAGCTTTACCTTTAGACCACTGACCTGACATCCAACGGTGCATATATCTAAATCCAATTAATCCTCGATATTGAGGAATTTATTTCTAGTCTCCATATATATGAAATACTCATACTTATCGTTTACATTGGGCGATAATATCTCCTAGAATTTGTCTTATTTGCCCATCATTTCTTTCAATTTATTTAATCTCTTAAACCACTTTCAGTCACATGATTATATACACTTTATGTTTAGTCTTGCAATGCAGGGAAATCCATTGTTCTGATGTTGATGCTAAAAGGGCACAACGTTCGTAATAATTTGTATAGAAGAGAAATTTAATTATTCGAAAAATATTTCTCTTTCACCAATATTTGACTTCTTTAGCATTAGGTATTGAAACAAATACCGAACTATCTTATCATACCAGTAAAAGGTTTTTAGACGTGAGATCCATGACAAATTGTTAATATATACTGAAAGTTTCTTATCTCAGTGCAGCATTGAATTAATTGCAGTGTAAATTTTTTCTTGAATATCTAGTCTACTAATACATTTTCAGATTCGAATCTTAACTAATTAAAGTCAAATGGAGTTTTCTAGTACATTGGGCGGAAGACTGCTGTCTCAATGCAAGTTAAAACATTACCTGGATCTGTATTTGGTCGTCTGATGGCAAAATGGTCAACTGATTAAAATAATCTCTCATGAAATAACCACCTCTTTGAAGTTGCTTAGAACCATATTATGTTACTTTTCTCTTTTGAATCAATCGTTTGGTAGCGCTTATGAACTTCGCAATTCCCTACTTCATTAGTATAACTTCAGCAAATCCATACTGTTAAATCACACCAATAGAAGTTGCTAACTATCAATCCACTTCTTGTACCTTAATACTATATGAGTCTGTTTTGGTAATCATATATAAAGTGTATCAAAGTGTTTCTCAAGAACGAACTAATAGAAATAAAATATCTTTTATTTATTTGGAACGTAAAAGCTAAAACAGTGCATCAAAATTAAAAAAATCCAACAAAAGTAGTCAAATACAATAATGCAAAACCTTATACAAAATACATCGATTTTATTGAGATCATGAACCGATTGATGCTAGACCACCGCTGAAAACCTGGAAGTACTGGACGTCCATTTCATCCTAGTATGGGACTCAGCAGTGTGCATCCACGGTCCCGCTCACGGGGTCCGAACCTAGGACCTTCGGTCTCGCGCGCGAACGCTTAATCTGTAGACCACTGAGCCGGCATCCAACGGTGTTAATGTCTAACCTCAACCAATCCACGAAATTGCGCGACCATCTTCCATTGTACCTAGGGAGATATCTGTCTCTACCCGACACGGATTAGCTCCACTGCTCACGGCGTGAATCGTGGATGTGGACTTCGGAGGAGTCCCACAATAAGACAAAACGGCCAGCTAGTGCTTCCAGGTTTCCAATGGTGGTCTAACATCAACCGGTTTATGATCTGAATCAAAAGCTTAATACTCCCCACAACCCCATACTGATACATTTGGTTAACCTTGGCGAATCGCTTTATGTAAAGCTCATAGTTATTATCAGTAAATTCTGTTAATCATAATCTCTACATTGTTTCTGGTTGTGTGCTATATCTACACATACACAGGGAAAGAATAATTTGTCTAGTTTCTATTCCATAGTATAGACAATATTTGTTTGTAATCAATGTATGAATAAATGTCTGATTACTTTTGTTTTATTTTTGTTGACAAGTGACACGATATTTTGATAATTAAAAGGAATATCAAAAAAGCTTATAATAGTGTGAAATAGATTATGAATAAAAATGATATTAAAAACATGTATAAATTGTTTGATGTCTAATAAGTTGAAAATCTGTTGTGCCTCTATGGAAATCAAGCCTTTACTAGCGGTTGTTCGATTAATTTTCGTCAAGATCCCGTTTGTGCTATCTTCTCTCATCACAGTTCCACCACAATCCACTTAACACTAAATACTTTTTGGTACAAAGTATTACAAATTATATCTGCTTATCCTCCAGTTTCCTTAGAATACCAGCTTCATATTAAGACATTGGCGAATACTGATTAATTTTTCTGTAACCATCTCTAATATCAGGTGAACTTTAACTATGCTATACGGTGTTTTTCTATCATCACAATTTACAGGAACTGTAATGATAAATTTCTGAACATTTACCTTTTCATAATATGATACTCTCCTAATGTATATGAAACGTAGACAACGAATCCAAAAAGAAAACTACTACTACTTTCATCACTTTGTACCATTAACTAAGTAAAATATATAAAGTGGTAATTAAATTATTTATCATGTAGTAAAAGCTTAGATTGATGAATTTTAATTTCCATATTTTCATTCTATTTTCCTTAATTTCTTTATATCAGATGTTTTCATATGTAATGTAGTGTTACTTTGAGGAAAAATTCACGTGAGAGATAATTCAGTATCATAGTCTAATCTTTGAATAAAGGCCACTTTGACTTTTCTTCTGCTTTAAATCACACTCATAAGTTTTCAATATATTTTTGCTGCGTATTTTTTAGTTTGCTTATTCCTCACTGTCAACGTCATCATCCCAACCTATGGATTAATGCTCCTTTAAAAGATCCTGAAGTAGAACGTAAAAGTTTTTTTACCGATCTACGTAAACTACAATTATCCCTACGGCATAATTTGCTTGGTATGTTTATTTTTATTGATATAAAACTTTTCTCTTCACAAATTGTTAAAATATTTTTGTTCACTCTAAGAATTTATAAACGGATTTCAGCATTTTGGTTAATGGTCAATTGATCTTTCATTGTTTTTCCTTACTCTCACCCGGTATATTCTAACAGAAACTTGAAATGAATACATTTTAAAAAAAATTTCCATAGACTAGTCATAGTGTTGTTTTCACGTATTCAAGTGTTAGTCTTATAGTAAATCAATTTTTTAAAAATCTTATTGTATATTCCACTTTTTTGTAAAAAAACTATTTGATAAGCAACAATCCTTTCAACCTGTTATTTATCATAAAGTACCACTTATCGATTTTTGGAATTTGCAGAGATTTTCGTATTTTCGAGGTTGAATTCACAAGTCAACCTAAACCTGACCACCATTGAAACCTAGAATAACTGGACAGCCGTTTCATCATAGTATAGGACTCCTCAGCAGTGCGCATCCATGATCCCGCACGTGGGCCTCGGGCCCGGGACCTTCGGTCTCGCACGGAACGCATCCAACGATGTCAATGTCTAATTTCAGTCGATTCATGATCTTGTGCAACCCTTCATCCATTACCTGAGTTGGATACCTGTCCTACGTTTTCTTCAACCTGTTATTTATCATAAAGTACTATTTAGTTTAACTACTGAATATAAATGAATTTCCTTTAAGTAGATAATTATAATTAACTTATTGAAAGACCAGAATACATTTGCGATAACTTATCACACTAAAGGTAGTTTTGTAAAGACGGGATTAAAATGAAAATAGATGAACCATTTATGTATGTCCTATAATAAAGTGACCGTGGACACAATGTTTAATTAAAACTATATTTTTTTAGAATCAGTTTTTTTCCATATTCACTTAAATATATAGATAATGGTTGGTTCAATTTTTGACTTATGGTCAGTTTACTAATTTTTCACTTAAATACTTTTATCTATCTTACAGCTTGCCATAGTGAAGTGGGTGCATATAAAAATGCTAACTCAGAACAAGAACAATACTTTATAGTAAGTTGATACTCTAACTTAAATTTATTAGAATCGTTATACATTTATTCTGGTCATCATTTTCATCTAATGATATACAGTAAAGGAATTTCGTGTTATTTATGATTTTCTACTGACTCAGTTGTTTTGACAACAACCTACTTTCAGCCTACATAAGCAAAAAAATCTACCCATATTAAGTGGGTAGGTGTATTGCATCAGAATTATTATGTGATAACTCTCAAGTATGAAAATTCCTAACTGCTAACTATTATATAAATGGTATCATAATTGAAAACCCACTTGTAACTTATTCTTCAACTATAATTAATTGTATTATATATTTTAAACCAAATGATTAGTTTCTCATATTGTATAATAAAATGCATAGATACAGTCGATGTAAAAATTATCCAATAGGTTAAATTAAATAAGGAATTTCATTTAAATACTTTTCTCCCCTAAACCTATCTTGCGGACAAATCTCATTTTCGGCTATATATATTGACTTGTGAATTGTTTTTTCCAGTGCCTGGAATGTTGCTTCAATGTACTAATTGCATTTTTGTAACAGATTTCTATAAGTTTTGCTTTTCATTACTTTCTTCTAAATTCAACGATATTTAAATATTACTAGTGACATTGCTTATAATTAATGTAATAAGTTTATAACTTGAAAGCAAGCATTCCAAACAGTAGTAAATGCAGTAATATTAATGATAGGAAAGAAAAAAATCTGTGTATACATCTTGTTTGAATGTTCTGTATTTCAATATCTTATTGGTTTAGTAAAACGAAATAGAGACGATCACAATGGATAGAAACTTTTTTAACATAGAGTAACTAAGATAATCACCTGTTAATCGTGTAGTACACATTCCTTTCTTTTCATAGTCAAACATAACTTTTTTAATACCTTTCTTTATAGACCGTAAATATCAAGTTTATTTTACATACATTAGTTTTCATTTTTCTTTTATTCACCTTATTACATTGTTAACAACAAAATCTCAAATATACATTGTTAAATATCAGACCTCCAAGTTTGTAAGTCAATTCCCTAACATTTGTATGAATGTAGACTAGTCTTTATTCGGAAGAATTGGAATGATACTTAAATGTTAAACAACGATTTTATACAGTTTAACTTCATGGCACGAATTTGTGAAAATTTATGCACAAATTCTTTACTTTTTACAATTTGTTGAATAAACACTTGCCTGTAAAACTGTTCACAAACAACAATTGTAATAGTATTAATGATTTTCGTAAAAACCTTAATAACAGAATACTTTCAAATCTGATTGGACAGATTTTGGTATGTGTGAATTTCTCTATGGTAATATTTTTATAGCACATACCAAATAATCAGCACGTGACTGGGAATAACGAGTGGGCAATAAGAATATCACAGTTTTACATCTATGTACATCTCCATGTCTTTATAGACAAGTATATGCATATGTCTATGTGCACTTGGATACAAAAATTGAAGTCCATTTTATTATCATCTGTTAATCAAGTTTACATTGACACTAACAGGAATGTCTAAGCTTAGAAATACAATACTACATGTTTCTTAATCAATATTTTCTTTTTGGCAGTATAATGTACAATATATATTCTGTGATATTTTTCCGTGACAGTGCTTAAAAATATTGATAACTAGCAATTGTTTCTAAATTTGTATACTTCTAAGAGGGAGTGACTTTTTACAGTAATAACTGGTTGTGTTAATTTATTGACCTACCTAATAGCTCCCAAGTGTTCTGAATGATACTTTACTGTTTTACACCAGGTGAAACGAAATGACTTATCAATTAACTTCTATCGAACTAGAAATTATATGAACATTCTTATTATCCAGATCCATGGTTAGCAAATTATAATAAGATATACATCATAAGAAATCCTACGTTTATTTTTCTTGATTATGAATAATATAGGATAAGGAATGATTGATACTGTCCGGTGTATGGTAATTCGGGTTAATTTATAACTTCTGTTAGTCTTAGTATAATTTACGGTATTACATATTCGTTGAACACTTATTTGTTTGTTACTTGTTCGACTGTATGTAAAGAAGAAGTCAGTTATGAATTCATAGTCAATATGTTTATATATCAGTATCATGTATTGTAAGAATTGGTTATGGATTTCATGCGTCAGATTGTCAAACTTCTTCAAAAGTTAAGATTTGTGATGGTTCTTAACAGATTTCCTTTAAAAACTTACATGTTTACACCTAAATATAGTCTAACCAGTTATCACTGTAAAATTTTTTATGACTCTTTCCCATAGGTTAATTAATTATCACAATCGGCCTTCATCTGAACATAAAAATTCCATTTAAACTGTTACTCATAACTCCTCTTATTCAAGCCCGACCGTTGTTGCTATCTTGACATGGTGGCGGGGCTTGCCTATCGTGATGAACCGATCGAACTACATTGGCTGGAACAGTTGTTCCTCAAAGTCTTATCATGCCAGACAGGGCAGTTGAAGAGCGGTAAGAATAAAAGCAGTAAACCCACTAAATTACCCACTAAAAGGTCGTGTATGACTTACCTCAAGCAGTTGTCCCCTGGGCACTGAGGTCACGCTCTCGGGTCACTAAGACCATCTTTAACCCAATTTCTTTTTCAGGTACCTCTAGAAGAGCCAACTCCGCTTGGAGTCCCTCTGGAATTACTCCCGGCCCCAAGCCCGGATAAAGGAGGAGGGTTGGGCATAGGGTTAACGACCCCATCCCGTAGAAAACTAACTCGCTAAAAAATCGCCAACCAGAAAAAATTATTCAAACCATTTAAATCCTGCCCTGGGAGTCAGAAGGTCTTCATTTAGAAGAGTTATGACGCCTCATGATGAAAGCTGAGTTCCTTCTGACAACCAGAGCGACCATTTATTTAGGTACGTGAAATACTTGTACAATGTGCGAGACTGGGAGAGTTTTTGAATTGCTGCAGAAGTGAGGAGATATAACCTAGAGGTTCTTGGGATCAGTGAAACACATTGGACGCAAGTTGGACAACAACGACTAGCTTCAGGGAAGATTCTGTTATATATGAAGAAGAAAGTGCACCATATACACATGGAGTTGCATCGATGCTGTCCAAACAAACACAAAAAGCACTTATAGGATGGGAATCTCACGGATCCAGAATAATCAAAACCTCCTTCAAAACAAAGAAAGAGGAAATTTCAATGAACGTCATCCAATGCTATACTCTCACCAACGACTACAATGAAGACGTTAAAGATCCATTCTACGATAGGCTGCAGTCAATTGTCGAGAAGTGCCCAACAAAGAACTTGATCATTTTGATGGGAGACCTAAATGCCAAGTTTGGAATGGACAACATCGGATATGAAGACATCATGGACTAGGAGAAGTAAACGAAAATGGTGAGATTTGCAAACCTATGTGCATTCAATAAACTGGTCATAGGCGGCACTATATTACCACATAAACACATACACAAAGCCATATGGACTTCACCAGACCACACTACATAGAACCAAATCGACCATATCTGCATCAACAGAAAGTTCAGGAGGACGTGAGAAACAAAAGAACTAATATAGCATCATATCATCACTTGCCGGTCCCCAAGATCAAACTAAAACTCAAGAAGCACTGGACAACGAGGCGGACAATATCACAAAAGTTCAATACGGCTCTTCTTCGAGATACTGAAAAACTCAACAAATTCAAGATAGCCCTCAGCAATACGTTCCAGGCCTTTCATGATCTACTCAATGGAGAAGGAACTACTATGGAGAGCAACTGGAAGGAGATCAAAGAGGCAATCACGTCAACATGTCATGGGGTCCTGGGCCACAAGAAGCACAATCACAAAGTATGGATCACTGTTGATACACTGGATAAGATTCAAAAGAGGAGGGACAAGAAGGCAGGACTCAATACCAGCCGAACAAGAGCAGAAAAAGCTAAGACAAAAGCTGAATACACAAAGGTAAACAAGCAAGTGAAGAGGAGCATTAGAACTGACAAACGTAGATATGTGGAAGATTTAGGAATGTAGGCAGAAAAGGCTGCAAGAGAAGGAAACATGAAACAATTGTATGACACAACAAAGAGACTGTCTGGAAATCACCGTAAACCAGAACGACCAGTAAGAAGCAAGGAAGGCAAGATAATCATCAACATTGAAGAACAACGAAACAGGTGGTTAGAACACTTCAAAGAACCCTTAAATCGATCAGCCCCACTAAACCCACCCAACATCGAAGCAGCATCCACAGACGACCACCCAATCGATGTTGGCCTACCAATAATTGAAGAAATCAGCATGGCCATCAGACAAATCAAGAGTGACAAAGCAGCAGGACCAGACAACATTCCAGCAGAGGCCCTGAAAGCAGACGTAGCAGTAACTGTGAAGATACTCCATATTCTCTTCAATAAGATTTGGGATGATGAACAAGTAACAAGAGACTGGAAAGAAGGACTTCTGGTCAAAATACCAAAGAAAGGCGATCTCAGCAACTGTGATAACTACAGGGGCATCACTCTTCTCTCAATACCAGGACAAGTCTTCAACAAGGTATTGTTAAACAAAATGAAGGACTCTGTAGATGCCCAACTTCGAGACCAACAGGCTGGATTCCGTAAGGATCGATTATGTACAGACCAGATCGCAACACTATGGATCATCGTGAAACAATCAATTGAATGGAATTCGTCACTCTACATCAACTTCATTGACTACGAGAAAGCATTTGACAGAGTGAACAGGACAACACTATGGAAGCTTCTTCGACACTACGGCGTGCCTCAGAAGATAGTCAATATCATACAGAATTCATATGATGGATTACCCTGCAAAATCGTGCATGGAGGACAACTGACAGACTCGTTCGAGGTAAATAGCGGTGTTAGGCAAAGTTGCCTACGCTCACCCTTTCTCTTTCTCCTGTTGATCGACTGCATCATGAAAACGTCAACATTCGAGTGGAATCATGAGATACAGTAGACAGCTAGGGTACAGCTGGACAATCTAGACTTCGCAGATGATTCGGCTCTTCTGTCGCACACGCAACAACAAATGCAGGAGAAGACGATCAGTGTAGAAGCAGCCTCGGCAGCAGTAGGCCTCAGCATACACAAAGGGGAAAGCAAGATTCTCCGATACAACACAGCATGCACCAATCCAATCACAGTTGACGGAGAAGATTTGAAAGATGTAAAAACCTTCACATATTTGGGCAGCATCATTGATGAACACGGTGGACCTGATGCAGATGTGAAGGCGCGGATCGGCAAAGCAAGAGCAGCATATCTGCAACTGAAGAACATCTGAAACTCAAAACAACTGTCAACCAACACCAAGGTCAGGATTTTCAATACAAATGTCAAGGCAGCTCTACTGCATGGGGCGGAAACATGGAGAACTACGAAAGCCATCATCCAGAAGATACAAGTGTTTATTAACAGTTTTCTACGCAAAATACTTCGGATCCGTTGGCCAGATACTATTAGCAACAACCAACTGTGAGACAGAACAAACCAGATCGCAGCGGAGGAAGAAATTAGGAAGAACCGCAGGAAGTGGATAGGACACGCATTGAGGAAAGCACCCAACTGAGTCACAAGACAAGCCCCCATATGGAATCTTCAAGGCCAAAGGAAAAAAAGGAAGACTAAGGAACACATTACGCCGGGAAATGGAGATAGACATGAGAAAAATAAACGAGAATTGGATGGAACTAGAAAAGAAGGCCCAGGACAAAGTGGGTTGGAGAATGCTGGTCGGTGGCCTATGCTCCATTAGGAGTAACAGGCATAAAGTAAGGTCTAAAAGAACCCTTCCGCGGTGTGGGTGACCTGTAAGTGATAACCACCCTCATACCTCTAACATTACTCAAGACCACTGTATAACCTCTTATTCAAGTTACTACACGGTATAATCTAATATAAACTGCTATCTCGTGGAAGAATATCGACCCATTTTTTCCTCAGTAGAAAATACTGCTTATAGATACTTTTTTCATCACCTGGATTCATTTGAACGTTCTTGCATCTTTTTGTCGTAACATACCAACTAATAAAACCTGTATATTTCTTTATAATAAGCACTATAATTGATAGGATGCAAAATTTCTGGCCATTCTACTCTGATCTACACAATCCCGAAGTGTTGCTAAGACGCATAGGAATTTATTTGAAACACATTTTGTAGACTGATATTTGTTTTTTAAACGTGATTACAGTATGTGTGAGTGTTAAGCAATAAATTTCAGTATCAAGAGCAATTAACAAACGTCATTGTCTTTGGTCTGTATTTGCGATGATTTATATGGTGCAGACTTATTAACTTCGGACAGATAACCAGTTTTATATATGAATTAGCTAGAAAAGCGTATTTTGTCTACTCTGGTTGGCGGCTAGAACACTCGATACACGTGATTTTCTCCCGATTCTATTACACTAATATCGTCTGTATAATTATAAGTAAACTTTACTTAAGATGATTAGCATGCTTCTTACTAATTCTTAACAAGACTCAGATGGTCATTTAGGGGTGTTTTTGGTTATTATTTAAATTAGTAGCTCCGTCTTATGATCTTAATTACTGAAAACCAATATTCTCATTGAGACCCTATGTCTGTGATATCTTGAATTCCTATTTACTTGTAGTTTTAACATTTTTGCTTCTCGATTTCATTTGTCTTTGCTTTTTCTTAGAGCCGATTTCGATATTTGAAATTAGAGTCCCTAATGGGAATGATTTATGGTTTGGATCAACTGTTCTACCAAGATCTTCATGCTTTAGTGGTATCCTTCGAACAAGAAAGAATGTCAGTAGTTTCTCATATGTTTGCGATTCGGCCGCCAGAGAAAACCTTCCCCCAGTTTACAGATCCTTAACTTAACCCTCATTTATACGTTAATCCTTTAAAATTTGGTAAAATGTTTGATTTCCTATTCATTCAATTTTGTACAGAAATCTGTGTACTATTTACTTCTCAACAAATACACTAACTATGGACTCTCTGTAAGAATATTCACGAGTTTCAAGTATTTAAACTTTCATGTTGACTAACCGGTTAGTTATATTATAGTGAGATGAAACTTTTAGTAAAACGTTGAATATCTGCTTAAAGTTTCAAATATATTCGATACTCCTATCATGACTTTATGTTGGAAACAATTATCAGTGGTTAATTGTATTCCTTATGATTTATTTCACCTTAACTTTTCCCTGCATCTCAGATTTTAAATTTATCATTCTTATGAAGGACTTTCCTTCTAAATCGAAAAGTTATGAAGTTTCATTTTCAATAGCCACCAAAAATTATGTTGGTACTGATTTACCATGACTCTCAAAAATGTTCATCATAGTTCGTCTTCAAGTGGCATCAGTTCGCTCTGTTCTCAATACATGCATTAACATGCAATGAGAAGGCACCAAATAAAATGTTGACGTCTTTGCAAGTACGTAGTGTAACTATTAGTTGTTTCTAATCTACATTTTGAACATATGACTCTCAAAATTATGGTACACCGACACCTTCGAGTGGTAAGAGATTGAAGCTATCAGTGAATGACGGCAGTCTCTTCACATAAACTGTTTACAGCCTATATGATTACTTTGGATCCTAAGGACGCTGAATGGAACCCTTTTACAGACATTATTCATCTCGACTTGTTAAAATTATATTATTACTGTGCAACAGCTTCTTGAACATACTTTGAGATAAATGTCATCTTTTATGAATAACTTTTTCGGTGACCCTATACGTTATGGGCTAAACAATCAGATTAAAAATAATGAACAATAGATTTTTGCAGGAAACTCCAAATGTAATGAAGGTGGTTTGTACTGTATTACAAGTCAACAGTGTTTGTATTTTGTTCTTAAGATGCTTGAAGTTGATTAGCACTTTGTTTTTGCAAGTACAAAGTAAGTACGACGTAATGCGGTAAGTAAGTTATGGAAAGCACGTGGTGCTGACGAACATTGTATCGCAAACAGCAGTGACTAGGCGCACTTAATGTGATTCAGGAAATAATCAAGGATGTTTTTGGCGTCACTTTAAGGCACCCATGCATTACAATCTAATCAATACTGAATAACTACCTATTTATATACGGTTCATGCAGTCATGGACTAGAATCTACACGAATGATTGAAGATTGTAAAGCTTACAATAATCGTTCGTAGACGTTATTTCATAGGCTTAATAACTGGTGTCCAAATCTTTGATGTTGAGGCAATACTGTCACAATTAAACGACCATATTCTGTCTCACAAAGGCCGTAAAGATTTGGTAAAATGAACGAGCTTTGTATAGCACAAATTCAAATTAGAGTTCATATGTACCTTTGAAAGATTGTTAAAATTATTAGAGTTTGTCAACCGTATAGAAAGAGTCTATATATACATGTATTTTAATTATTCGGGTTTTACGTCATAAATTATTCATTTCTATTACCCGCTTTCTAATTAGCCGAAGTTTTACCCGAGATCAACCATAAAGTATGGTATCGATGACTTCTGCTTAAGTACACGCAGTTTTTGCTTGGGTGTGATGTTTCTTTTTACAAACAATAATCGGTGAGCTACTAAGTCCCACTTTTATTCATGTTTCACAGAACAGTAAGTGAGATACACACAGATAAATAATTTCTATATTATATAATATGAGGTACATCGCTCTACGTCTTTGGCACGAAGAACTGGTTAGCTGGGTAAATTCTAATTAATCTACGGATAAAGGTTCTTTGACCAAATAAAAAGAGGAGGTATTCAAGATATATATGTTGATATACAGAAAATAGAATTCCATATTCAAATGACCTGAATAATTTACTTGTAGTTTGCTCACAAAAACTCAAGATACGAGGTACTTTTACATCCACAAATTTCTAGTTTAAGAGGTATTTTGATAGCTATATGATGAACTGCTTACCACAGAGCAAAACGGCTTGAATGTTTGTATGTTAATACTCAAAGTCCAGTGGTGGACGAATGAGTGTATGTTTTCTAGCAGTCTATGTGATCCCTAATATTTTCTACATGGTCTATCATGTATTGAATAGGGTCGTCTGGCTGAAATAAAGCTATTTCATAAACAAGTTTCTTGGTTATCTGAAAATTTGTTAGATGAATTATACTTGCATAAGCCTCAAATTCCATTTTTTTCCAAGTAAATAATTGCTGTAGATTTCGGATCTTCAGCGGTTCTACCAACTTCTGATGGTCCTAGAAGACTATCAAGAGTTGAGTCCATAACTTTTGTTTTTGTTGCCGAGTCGTTTCTATCGTATTTTGTTCAATGTCCTATATTGCCAATATTTAGTCATTTAAAATCCTTTATTCGTCAGTCAGGAATAAAGAAGTGTTGGTTCTGCACATTCAGAATGGGCGTGTAATAACAATAATGAATAAATTGAGAGATATTTAGCACACAGGACATTAAGTGCAAAACATAATTCTCTGTCACTGGATTTGGTTGGACGGTTTTCCGGGAGTCAATCTTCAGAGTGGGCATGGTTGTTAAAATCCCCTTCATCAGTTTTCACTTGAGGGCCCGGAAAAGCATTTGAGACAGGAATGACCCGTTATTAACAAAGTTTGATTTTAGCAGTAGTACCTTGCCCCTTCGAACAGTTTTAGATAACTCAGCATATCATAATATAGCAAAACGGTTGGTGAAAATTCTTAAACCACTACACAAAGAAATTGTCAAGCATGGTGTCAAGGATTCCTTTGAATTTGTTGAGAATATAAAAAATCTATCAATCAAGAATAATTTCGTGTTATCACTCGATGTATCATCTTTATTCACTAACATTCCACTACTTGAAACGGTTGATTTTATTTGCAATGAACTAACAGAGAGGCGCATAGAAACCCCGATTCCAGCACCCACGATAAAACAGTTAATTCTTAGGTGTATAATGAATGTCCAATTTAGATTTGACAATGAATACTATAGAGAACAGATGGAGTTGCCATGGGATCACCATTGGGCCCTCTACTGGCTGACATTATCCTTGTAAAACTGGAAAACAGTCCGCTTAAAAGTATAATTGGCCACTTACCAACTTATTATCGCTATATAGACAATACCTTCATAGTATTACAAAAAGAAAATGATAAGGACAATTTACTTAATATATTTAATAAGATTCATCTATCAATTAATTTTACATCAGAAGATGAACAGAATGATAGCATATCATTTCTAGATGTCCAACTAACAAGAAGAGCAGACGGAACTTTAAAAAGAAGGGTACACAGAAAGTCTGCAGCAGGACTATACACTCATTTCCATAGTGCAGCTCCAATAAGATACAAAAGGAACTTGATAAAGAGCTTGACTCAACGAGCTAGAATGACTTGCTCTGAAGACACCATTGAAGAAGAATCGAATAATATTCGGAACCTACTTAGTATGAATGGGTATCCCATGAAATTCATCGACAAACATATGATGGAGAAGAAAACAAGAACAAAGACTCCCACCGTCCTTAAGAAGGTACTATTCGTAAAACTACAATTCATAAATGACACGATTGAAGAAATCTTGACTCAGAAACTAAGACGAGCCGTACAAAAAACATTTAATGCTGCCAGATTAAATGCCATTTTCTACAACCATCCCAAAATAAGAACAGCCGATAAAGACAGACTGTCTGAATTCGTCAAATCTACGTATGTCTATCGTTTCAACTGCTCCTGTGGAGCCAGTTATATAGGGCGTACAATTCGGCAAGTCCGTCATCGTATCACAGAACATCATCCGTCATGGTTAAGCAGAGGACAGGTAAAAGTGATTAAACGTTCTATTCTCTCTCACTTGGTTGACACAGGTCATCAAGTTGAAGTGAATAAAGCCTTTAAGGTTATCTACAATATCCCATCAAATTTGCCACATGGTTTACGAGTGCGCCTCTTGCACATTACGGAAGCCATCGCAATCCATGTTCACAAACCTGACCTTTGCATTCAAAAGAGATTCGTACAACCACTTTCTCTGCCCTGGCCATCAGTATAAGATTTCCTTCAAAAGAACTATTTTTCATACTCCTTCTACTTTTCTTTTTGTAATTTTGTTTCTGTTGCTTTTGAACTTTATAACTTCTCAACATTCATCTCTTGATTCTTGGGTAACTACTATTCTATTGACCATCCATTATAAAATTCTGTTCCTTCTCTTTTCATATATTATTTAACGTAGCAACTTCTTGATTTAATAATTACTTTGAATATTAATAATCCTCTTTCTTCCAACTACTCAATGTTAATTTAAATGTCATTATGAAACTTTTACGTAACGTATCCACTCGATGAGTATTATATCATTATTTTAAATCATATATATATTAGTGTAGAGCCGTGATGAAAGACTAATTGAAAAGAAACTTCTTAGCTCAATTCGTTCCTTCTTAGTAGTATTTACTCATCGATAAACAGTTCATCAATGTTTGCTTCACGAGGTACAAATGGTTCGAATGGTTGTGGGAGGAATAGAAGAAGCATTCGCTTGACGGGCCTCCGTGTCCAGTAGCAGTAGAATTCCAGTATTTCATTACGCTTAAAGAGTAGAAGTTGTGTCTACAGTCCGTTCTTCTGTGTTGTGTCTCCAGTCCCTGGGTGTTACCTCTTAAGTTTGTGTTGGAGTCAAACTTAAGTAGGTGTTCAAGGGGATGCCCAGAAATGTTACGGATACTGTAAGCCATTAGAAGGTCACCACAACGACTGTACTCTAATGGTTGAAGATTTGGTGATTGGAAGAACTCTTCATAAGGCCTGAACTTGAGTCTCCGAACTGATTTCGTGGCTTGCCGTTGAATACTCTCCAGATTGTCTGTATCCTTTTGGAGTAAGTCAGGAAACACCATATTTCCATACTCTAAATGCGGTTGAACAAAACTGTTGAAGACTAAGTGGAAAGTTCTACCGCCGACCCGGCCAAATATGCGCTTCAACGTTACAATGCACGGTTTTTCTGAATGGCATTTTGGTTGCAGTTAGCTTAGGACTTCGGATCACGGGGTGCCAACATTATTTTAGCTTGGGGTGCCTCTAGAGTCTAGATACCTATTTGTATTCATAGTTTGCAATATTTCTCAGATGTTATACTTTATACTTTGAAGTGCTGAAGATAAATTCGTCGTTGCCTGCCCAGCTTTCAAGGCGAGACAGATCCTCCTGCATTTCAAGTATGTCTTCTTGGTTGCGTATCCCTTTCTAAAGTTTCACATCATCAGCAAAATGTAGTAAGTCAGACGACATCTGTTGTGGAAGGTCGTTTATATAAATCAAGAAAAGAAGAGGTCACAGTACTGAATACTGGGCGACCCCACTACGACATTCCATAGCCTAAGAGAAAGTGACGTTAACCCTGGCCCAAAATGTCGATATTTTAGAGATGAAGTGAGACAACCAATTGAAGGTGACTTGATACCCAATCCTCTGAGCTAATTGATAAGACATATATGGTTGGGCCTATCAGAAGCTTTCTGGAAGCCAAGGTAAATGACGTCAACCTGCCCCTTGCGATCAAGGGTGGTTGCCCACCTGTCTACCGCAGTCAGCAGGTTTGTTGCACAAGAATGACCCTTCCTGGAACCATGCTGTCGGGGTGGAAAGATGTGTAAGATAATAAAGTCGCGTATACCGTCACATATCAAGGACTCCATAATTCTTAAGGGTATAGAGAGAAGAGTCACTGGTCTATGGCATGAAGGTTTGTTGCGTCGGCCACCTTTGAAAATTGGTGTGATGTGAGCCAGCTTCCAAATTTCCGGGAGTTTACCTCGGCTTGGCGTGTAGCCGGGTTTGAAGCTGATTCCTTCAGTATAGCAGAATCAACCATAACCGGACCAGAAGTGTCTTTTATTCGGTGCTGCAGTTTCTTGTACACCACGTCAGCGCTCAGGTTCACTTCGGAAAGTCATGTGCGGTTGCAGATAAAACTTTCATCAATATAGCTAATGTGGGTTGATAAGTTCATTAGTAGCTATCAAAGTAGCACTAAATCTAACAGATTTATTGTTAAATGCTCGCAACTTGTGCCGTGCTCAACAAAAACTGCCTTACTAATTGGGATGAATGTGAGAAAGCCATGAGTTTTCGATTTTATGCTGAAATTGGATCGTCGGATTATAACAGTCTTAGACAATTACTTTTTGAAATTCCAGCATCCATACTAAAAAGGATCAGTCAGGTTACGGATACTCAGCAACATAGACAAGTCGAGATGCCTGTGATAATGGTATTTTAGATAAAAAGGTTTTCTACTGATGCTTCTGAGGATGCTTCATATAATCACTGAGAATGACAAGTTACTGTCCTGGTTCACCCACTGACACATCAGTTTAATTTCGTCCATAGGTATATGAAAACGAACCATCATGATACATTCACATAAAATGGTGTTTTTATCTTATGAACTATTCTCTACAAACTGTTGTGATTAGTTTTGGACTTTTGTGGACACGCATTTCCGTATTTGTGACTATATGTCAATTTTATCTCATCCTTAATCCATGAAATATTTAAACACACACAACAGTTCATATAGCGTTTGGTCAATCGCTGTAACACGACGCTTAACTGATAGCTCAGTTTAGATAGCACACAACGTAACACAGACTTCACTCACTTGAGCTTTTATGTATGGTCTGTTGTTGCAAGGTGTGTAGCATACGTCCGTCTCTGAATCATTTCTCATAAAACTCATTTGATCGCAAGTTTCCAAATGTTTTTGATTATTTGACAGGACTTATCCACAAGGTGTCTGAAATGAACAAGGATATATATATATATATATATATATATATTCGAATCGGTTAACACGGTCTGACTTAAAACGCGACAAAGCCTAAATGTGTGAGTGAGGCTATATTGTGAGATACCTTTTTGTAAAAATGTGTAAAACAACCCTCATGTCAGGTTTCGTAAGGTCAAAACCTAACATATTTCTTTAAAGGTTGTGTCAACACATTTTTTGACTCCTTTGTTTGTGAAGACACAACTGATTTTAGTTACCATAAAGTTATAGTTATCTATTTTATTTACAGTTTCGGTTTCATGCTCTTCCTCTTGCCTATTTACAGCCTGTCAACAACTCTTAATTATGCTGTACTCAATCAATTTATTATTATAGTGGCTAGACCGAGCGATTG